TTACTAAATATTTAGATTTACCTTTTTGTAAGACATAAAAAACGTAGCATTTTATTTTTATTGTCCTTAAATGGGTCAAATTTGTCATTTTTTCGTTGGAGAAGTACGAGTATATTAGTAGCAGCACTTATGATATGTCAGAATTCTACGGAATGAAAAATCTGACTATAGTAAGAACTCTTCAAAGTATAGGTACACTCGAAGCAAAGCAGGTTTTGTAATGACTTTTACATAATTTAGTTAAGATGCTTATGACTAGTGCCTTACACAATATGGTTAAGAGCTTTGAAGGCGTTTTTTTTAACCAATTCTTATTTGTTGATTGCTTATCTGTTCTCTGCGCAGCAGTAAATGAGATACTAAGTTGAATCTTTCAAAAATTTGACAGTTAATTATAGGTGGCGTAACAGTTATATTCCTATTTCTTTGTCATAAAAATTTGGTGTATGTTCTTTTTACGATTGGTCGTAAACCTAAATCTTGTAATGTTTCCTAATTATATATTTAGATGTTTAAAAATAAAAATAATCTAGAATAATGAAACATTCTTTACTTGTTTACAACTGTAGATAATAAATTTGTGTTTATAAAGTTGTGTCCAACTTGTGAATCTCATATATAAAAGGTGTCACGGTGTTTGTCATTAAACTCCTCCGAAATGGCTCGACCGATTTTAGTTAGGATTTTCATCCCACTAAATGTTAAGACTTAAGGGGATGTCCCCCCAAATTTTTTTTTTGTTTATGATACAGCATACAAAAATACATACAACAATTTTTTTTCACTCCTCTACGATTAACCCCTATTTTTGTTTGTTAATTAAAAACTTATGACTAACTCTGAGGTTTATATAGATAAAAATTCGCAGAAAACAGTCTGGGGGGTAGCATAGCAAAATGTTCCATGTCGGTATGTACTAAAAAGGTAGGTACACTAAACAAATCACATTAAGGAGAAACGAAGTTCGCGGGGGCAGCTAGTTTTCATATTGAATTCAATTTTCGCGCTATGAAAATAAAATTTTCACATCATTACGACTTGATTGGTGTGCTTTATTAATATTATTATATAATATAAGTCGCCCGCCACACTATTAACTAATTTGGGTTCATGATGAAATATAGATCTTCAATTTTATTAAACTTTCTTATAAACTTTAAACCCTTTAACAACTTTTGAAAATTAGCTTTTAACACTCCGTTACGAAACAGAAGGCCATTAAAATTGCTAGATGTCAAAGAGTTATTAGGTAACTTTTTATTTATATTGCTTGAAGAATCGGACGTTCTTATCTAACCCGTTTTCAAATCTGTAAAACGATTGACTGGTCATCTCGGATTACATAATTCAACACGGTTTTTATATAATTACTATTCTTTCTGTTAGTTCTGTAATTGTAGTTTTTTGTATCATTATTCTTATTTATTATTTATTTATTAGTAATCTTACACTATTAGTAACATACATAACTAAACACTTAGACAATATACAAAACCAAAACAGATTACATTGATAAATAAAATATAATAATAATAATTTATTTATTGCAAGAATATGGTACAAGAATGTTAAGGTGGTCGTGGTGGATTCTTATATTATCTGTATCGTACCTACATATCATACTTCACTAAATTCACATCAACTATACTACATGAAACAGAAAACATAAGTACATTCATAGACAAAAAGGAAAAACTGAAATTTAACATTAAACAAACGACATTTAATACCTACTTAATATTTCAAAGAAAAAACTAAATTGTTACTGCTAAACGAAGTCAAAGTCTTTCCACCTCTTCAAATATTTCCTCACATCCTCTTTGGTGAGGTGGAAAATCTTAACATCCTCATAATTAGTGTCATAGATAAAAACCAAAACCTTGGTGAATTATGCAGATAATTCATGTTTGTACAAGGTACATGGAACAATTGTAACTATGTTTCTTGTTGCATACGGTGGAGGGATTCTAAGAGAAATTAACAAATTAATTTATTTGCTTAAGGTGGAAAAATAAAGTGTAACAAATATTGTATAATGCGTTTGTTTGTTGACTAGTGGATATTTATTCTCCTCGTCACGAAAATACTAAATACTGGGAGGCATAGTCCAGATATTAGATAAAATAATAAAAAATGCAATCAAATCTCTTTTGTTTAGAACTGAATATAATTGAAGTTCGCGCGGTCCCCAAATTATTGGAAACTGAATAGTCTTTCCGCGATGATCCTTTTTGATTCAGGCTTTTTGGTATATAATAACTTAGAGAATAGTCCTAGTTTCATTATAATAGAAAAGTAAATTTTAAATAGGTGCCGGTTTTATTATTACAATTTGTTTTTATTTCATATAAAGGTGTATCAGGTGTAAGTATGTAAATAAATAGAAGCGCAAACCAAATGTTAGCCATCGTCGCACACATCCAAAAGCACATGCCCATGCACACCATGGAGCCACATATGGAATATTGTTTCCGATAATTTCGACTTCACTTGTCACTTAGATTTACCCTTAGATGAGCCAAATTAGTTTTTGTTAGCGTCGCAACTCCACTACCCTTAATTTTATGTTAAATATAAGCTCATGTTTTAAACATCATCCCAAACCGTTGGTGCGTAAAAGCATCAATTACCCCTTCCCGAGCGGCTCGAAGGAGGCCCCGGAATGTTTTAACGGATCTGGACGATCCAATCACGATAGCCAATGACAAATTAAAATCCGCCCGCGCTGCCAATAATAATAATAGCCAAAATTAGATTAGGGTATAAAACCGCCTTCACCGGGGAAGGCAAGGACCTTTACTGCTCATGTCGTGAGCTGCTGTCCTGCCCTTCAGGCGATTGACCACCCCGCGACGGCCCAAGCCGAGGTTCGAGTCTCACAGACGCCCCTGCGCTAGTCGCGGTAAAAACGCCCATTCAGGCCGAGCTACGCTACTCGCCAAAACAGCCCGAGCTGTGCCCTTAAGGCCAACAGCGAGATTCCATTCCCAAAAAAAAAAACTTTAAGCCAGTAGTTACCCAGCTTCAAACGAAGAGTTTTATTTAAAACATCTCCATACAAAAACCGCCTCTGAATTCGAGTCACAATTTTATTTTCAAAGATTTTTATTTTTATAAATACTTGCACGTACGATCACACAAATTCCTATGCTCATACCTCGTCTTTGAAATGTTTCGGTCACGATTGTAGTACTTGTTTGGTCCATATCGATGCAGCGTTCAATCCATCTAAACCTAAGTAACACTTAACAGAATTTCGAATGGATTCAAGATGGCTTCCATTCCTTCAAAGTGCGTTCTTGTACCTGTTTTTTTCATACCTGGACCTTTTAAAGCTCCGTTAAGCGTATATATAAGTATGTCAACCGTTACTAACTTCAGAGTGCATATTATTTTACGAAAAACTAAAATTATTGCATATTTTTCTACATACGTGTTTAGTTTAAAACTGTTAATATATTTTCCACATTTAAACCACATATTATACAAATACAGTCTGTGTTAATACATAAAACACTGTATGATATACATATATAAATTAATAATTTAACTACCTTAAGGAACCATTATAACAAAACTTGAGCTATTAAGGCCAGTCATTACGCGTAATGATAATTATTTGTCCTCTGAAATGTGTTCAAACACTCAGAAATGTTTTTGTGTATAAAATTACAAATGTATAAACATTTTAAAACGTCAAAGCATGTCTTGAACGCATTTTTCACGAGAAATCCACAGTTTTATTTTTTTTAATTTATTTTAAATAATAGTCGCTTACTCCGTTATTTCAGAGGCTTGATATAATATTAAACAGCTGTTTCAAAACACTAATGTGTTAAAAAAATAATGATTTATGACCTCCTTTTAATAAACCTTTTAGGTACTGTTGTACTTATATGTAGAAGAATTCAGTATTATTTATATATTATCTCTCGTACGTCTTATGAAAATAGTTACACGCACTGGAATATGCGCATACAAAAATATGAGCACACAAAGCTGTTGAATGGAACAAGTGACAAAGTTACAGTTACGTTAACAATGGCATCTCCACGTTTCGCCTCGATGCGTGTAGACTTATCAGGTCTAGGCTGGTATTAAGATGATATTTTCTTTTGTATACTTGTAATTGAAAGGGAATCTCATTTCGTTTCCATGGATTACAACGCATCATACTTACGTTGGCGTGCTTTATAGCAAGCAATACTTCTTAGTTAATATAATTCTACATCTTTAAAATAATAATATACGCCACATACTCGTACAACGAACATATAAAGCCAAAGCATAGGAACGTTTAGGACATATGAAACATAATATGTATTATAGTGCTTTTGCCGATGTGTGAATAAGCAATTTTTCTATGTTTATCGCTAAAACATTCATATACATATATAGCAAATGATACAGATAACCCAATTATAATGTCTATGCGTTTGGCATACTTAAGTCAAATGTCTCATTTTGGCATTATCCTTCTGTGAGTCAGCTGTGATATGAGTATTGAGCGGCTCCACGCATGCGCTCTAACTGTACCAAGGTCCAATACCGGCATTCGGCCTTTCACAAAATAAACAAACCTCGACTGACAATGACCGAACGTTCCTCACGCTTTCTAACCGCAAAACAACTTAACGCAACATTGCAAGTGTTATTTCCGCAGGCGTTTCGTTTTTAATTTTGTATCAATTTTTTGTATGTGTGTCAGTGTATATTCTATATTGTCTTATAATATTTATACATTTGTATATAATAGTTAGTTCATGTATTCTCAAAGTTTAAAGTTGTATTAACGAAGTGGTGGTAACAACAGTGAAATTGATCTAATAATGATTGGTTTGAGCAGACCCAAAGTTAATTGTACTTCAAAATATAAAGAAAAAGATAAAATCGAAATAGACTGTAAAAGAAATCACGTTGAATTCGTTCAGCGTGAATGGGTAGGGTCGCGAGATTGAGTGCGCTCAGTTGAGTGAGTGCGTGCGCGCAGTGTAGTAGTTATGCGTGCCTCGTCCACCCCTGCATTAGGGGCGAGGAGACAGAAGACGGATTTGCACGTGGCTGAACCCTCAAGGTCCGCGAGTCCGGCCTCCAGTTTGCGAAGCCAACGGGCCAAACAATACAGGTTATTTTTTATATAGCATTATAACTGTATTTTAAATTTGCTGTCAATGCACTATTATTATACAATATTGTGCTAAAAAACTTATACTAGTGCAAATACATGAATAGGTTTCTGAATGTGTTCGTTTCATTGTATATCTATTACGATGTACAAGTTATACTTCCGGTTATATAAAATCTATATTGTGAAACAAATCGAATTTTATCGAAATGATAAGATACATTAATATAGGTGTAACTCGGATAAATGAGAAGGTCAAACTGTCGTATTACAAAATTAATTGGCTAAAAGTCAAGGCACCACTTCAATTTCATTGTTTTTGTTCTTTTGTTTATTGTTTACGAGTTTACTATAACGAATCAGTAGGACTACGAGTATTAGTATTTTTAGGTACTTTACGAACGCATTTTCATACACTTTGTATATTTGAATCAATTTGTTTGTATAACTATTCGGTTATAAGTATTGTTCGTGCTTCGGGCTAAATGTTTTACGTTTTGAGAAAGGTAAAAATTGTCCTAGAAATTATACGAAGCCTGGTTTTCATGATTGAGTGAGCGTGTCGAGTTTAGAGAAAAGTGTCTGCTTTTTGTTTTTTCGTTAATAATTCAACTGTTGCATTGTTTTGTGCGCTCTATCGCCCAATCTCATAACCGGATGTTTTTCCTTGCTGGAGAAAGACTTGTATATTTCGAAGTGCCTTAAATTTTTATTCATAACATAGTTGTGACAAAATTGATCTGGAGCCAGTCCCCATACTAGCCCCCATGTTGTGAGTTGCACTTCCGTACATGTTGAAAACAATTACTTATTACTTTGTTTGTATAAAGGATAATATTTTCCGCCATTAATTAATCATTCGTATATGCAACTACGACATCGTTTACTCACAATGATTCATCTTAGACTAAATTTATTACTTTACACAGTTAAATAATGCGCTATTTACGATTAAATATAACTTCTAATTGTGGCTAATTTGCACCTTTAATAAGGAAGAAGTTCTCACACCCATCTTTTTATCATGAGAATATTTAAAGACGCTTATTGTGCAATAAATGTTGATAAGCGAAAGTTTTTATAAGGCCAAATAAGACATGCAAATGGAAAACTTATATACATTTTTATAATACATAATAAAATTATTTGTCACTTAAATTCAGTTATTTCTAAAGTCCTTTCATGCTGACCCTCTTGGGAAATTAGCGGTGGTATGCCGTTGAATTCCACTCCCAGAATTTTTTCAAGTTATTTGGACTTCAATGCCGATGCTGCCTCGATTGGTTGCCCAGCCCAGATATGGATATATCACTTGGCCGTTCACCAATCAGATGGACCGATCAAGTGAAAGACTCATTGTCCTAAAAACTGTACACTATTAATAAGAGGCAGAAAGAACAGTGTTGGCCAAGTGGCTTCAGCGTGCGACTCTCATACCTGAGGTCGTAGGTTCGATCATGAGGCACTGGAGGCTGATTACCTACTTGCCTATTAGATTTAAAAATGGACATGAAACAGATTCAGAAATCTGAAGCCATGACCTAAAAGAGGTTGTAGCGCCACTGATTATTATATTATTATTAATAAGAGGCGCTGGACACAGATGGAAACAGATAGTCCAGATGATTCCTCGCTAACCACGACGATCTGACATGAAATACATGAAGAGAGAGTCTTTAGTCATTATAATGATCAAAAAAAGGTTACATAGCAAATATGTTCGCAGTGTGAGTTCACAGTAGCGATATTGTGTATCTTATGTATTACTAACAAAATGCAACACACAAATATACAGTATTTACAATATTCTTAACCTGCATAGTAAAATTTTAATTGAAACGTTGGCGCCTGGTACCGGTGACCCCAAAGCTGGTGCTTTCCTCGCTCAACGAATAAGTATAGCAATACAGGGAAGAAATACTGCCCGCGATATAGGTACACTGCCGCTGCAAACTTTTTAAAGTTGTTTTAATTTTCTATTTTACAATTTTTAATTATTATTCTTATTTATTAATATTATTTTTTTCGCCATTGTCGCATTGATTTAGTACCTACTGAAGCATGTATTGATTTTTGTGAATAAATACATTCAAACCTCACTTAAATACAATCTAAAACATTTCCTTGTTTAAACTTGTATTATATACAGGCACGATTTATTAATTGATTATCTATTAACGCTTTTTCAATTTTCACATTCATTGTTCGTGGAACGTGCGTTCATGCAGAAATGTGCGATTCTTTGCATTGTTTGAAAACAGCTGACATTTTTTACATGAATGCAAGTTAGACTGTTTTGTCTGACAGTGGTTTACGGGTAACGAAGTCTACTTGCTTACTTTGTTTACAATTATTGTGTAAATAATATCCTACAGATATGTAAGACTTTCGTGCCGCTCCAACAGCTGTAAAGCGCTCAAAACAATATTACTAGCTGACCCGGCAAACGTTGTTTTGCCATGTATATTATTTCTAGGAAACATTTTTCTAGTTCAATAAAAATAACTATCTACTATACTAAAAAATATGGGTTGATCGTAGAGGGGTTGACAATTAAGGGTTGTATGTATTTTTGTATGCAGTATCATAAAAAAATAAAATAATAAAGTTTAAGATTTAGAGGGATGAAAAATAGATGTCCGATTCTCAGACTTACTGAATATGCATAAAAAACTTCATAAGAATCGGTTGAGCCGTTTGGAGGAGTATGTAAACGAACATTGTGATACGACAATTTTATATATATAGAGATGATGGGAAATATTTGAATAAATTAATGTTTGTAACGAACAGAACTCAAACAATACAGTCGTTTTCGAAAATATAGTCATCATGCTTTATTATCGCTGAGAAATATTGCTATATTTCCCAAATATTCAATTATGTACAATGTACATATATCCAGTCATGCGGTCATGGCAATGTAAAAAATTAGCTTTCATATCCGTTACGATTTTATTTAAATGTGTAGTACTCGAAACAGGTGTTCATTAATTCAGGTGACATTCTGGAATACCACAAATAAGCCCAAACCTGTATGTTACTATATTTTTATTGAAGTGACGTGGAGTTTTAAAACCCTAAGACGTGCTTGCAAACACAAAAACAAACCGCTCTTTTACGTGTTAATTATCAATCTTAATAACAAAAATATATGTTATACTTCAATCCAATCCGATCGAAATTAAACACCGAGACATATTTCGATCGATATTTTATTGGGATTAGGCAGGACATTATTTACAAGCAAGACTAATCTGTGATCGTTTTATTAAAAAAAACATTTTTGATATATTAATGATTACATGTTGTTATTGTTTTATACAGTTACATTGAACAATACTTTGTTTTTTTACTGTCAAATAGCAAATAATAGGCTATTACTTGACAGTTGGTTGAATGCAATTATTTAAAATTTCGGGTTACAAAATGCGACAGAAAGGCACTTCAATTATTACCTTCTTTCAGTCTTACTAGATGTTGCATTGTTAATCTTAATATATATAAATTACACGTCTACTCAAGCGATTTCAATCAAATTTGCACACCGTGTGCAGTTTGATCTAACTTAAATGATAGGATAGCTTACATATAAATATATATAATTCTACTGTACGTGTGTCACTGAACTGCTCTTCAACCGATTTGAAAGATTTTTTTTGGATGCGGCTGGTTGGAGCCCTGGATGGTTTAGATTCACAAATCAGCCCGGCTGATGGCGCTGCAGTCGGTACTTTCATACTTTAATATCCTAATCGCTTGAAATATCATGCAGGGCAACGTCTGTCGGGTCCGCTAGTTACATATATGTTATTATTTATATAATATATTAAAGTATATTATGAAACAATCTTGCATGTGGATTCGCACTTATTTGTTTAAACTTCTCCACGTATTTTAATCTATGAACTATTCAAAGACAATGATGAAGGTCGTATATATTGGAAGTTTTAGAAGTTTTCTCGTAATCTGTGAAACTTCAACGACGTTGTTTTGAATGACTTTTGTAACAACCATATATTAGCCTGTATAGTGTACGTATATTATGTATACAGAGAAATTCATTCCGGTAGTATTTAGTACACATTATAAAACAGAAAAAACAACATTATTTTATTTTATAAATAGAAGCCACCATATTATATTTCTTTTTAAAGATACATATATGGGTACAACGCACAGGTCTTGGTTTAGGGGAAAAGCCGAATTGCCCCACTTTTCGAAAAAGCTTTATATTTTTATATATGAACTTGCTGAAAATTATTCAGTATGTATCTCGCATAGGTCTTTTTTTCTATTAAAGCCTATTTTTGTATAATAATTAACAATGGTTTTGAATAAATACTTTTTATTTCACCTCTAGAAAGGATATGGGATAGTGTAGGAGAAAATGCTGGGGAAGCCGTTTTATTTTGGATAAAAAAATTTATATCAATTAGAGAAGTAATTTATTAAAGTCTAAAATTTATGAATCTATATAAGTAAATTTAAATATTAAGAAACAACAGTAATTCTTACCGAAGTAACTGATTAAGGACTTTCTTAGCTAATACTTACCAATTTTATATTGAGTGACACCCCATATGTTAAAATTTTATCTGGTATCAGAAATTATTAGTTAAAATAGTTGTAGATTGAAAAATGAACTTCTTTGAGACCTCGTCTTTCAATTGAAAACCCTCAGTTGTTAAAGAAAGTTTTAAGAAAGCTTAGCCTTTGAGGTCAGCCATTTTATCTCAAATAAAGTGGTAATCCCAACTGCTCAATTTTTGAAGGAAGTGAAGCTATCTTCTGTATTGAGTGTGAGCATTTGTATCTATAATAAATATATAAAACTGTGAAGAGAATTATTTAATTTACAAAAGTTAGAGCCAAAGTAAATTGAAAAACATAAAAAATAAAACTTAAAAATTTAGCCACTTAGGATATAAGAGGATATTTTTGGGGATATTGCCTTTATTGAAATAAATAAAAATTATTTAGTAATAAAAATGAAAAAGTGTAATTTAAACTTAAGAGAAAAAAAAAAATTAAAAATATAAAAAAATATTAAAGAAATACTTAAAAATATATTGTTTGGAAATTTTAGAAAAATGGTAGGAGGCATACTTATTGTAGTAAAGCGAATAAAATAAAAAAAAAATAAGCCTTAAACAGTTTCTATATAGGCTTTCTTTGCCTATTTTTTGAGTCTTAAGACATGCCATGCACCTCACCTTCCTTCCACATACGAGCAAGCTAGCCTTTTTATACTTACATAGAAAAATGTACATAGTTTCCTAGTACAACTACTCTTCAGGAGGTGGTAGGTTCGTGTAATAAACGAAATTAAATATGCGTATTAAATTATATCTAGCTTATTAATTTTAGTTTCGGGTTTAATTTTGCTAATTAGTTTTGTGTTGACACACCTAAAAAACTAATTTTCCTAAAACTAATAGGAGTGTTTCGCTTTAACGTCAATCTTTTTTATATTTTAACAACATTTTCCTGTTCAGCATTTACAAATTAAAACATCCACTTAATTAACATAGACATACATTTAATTTGTATTAAGAATTCTTTAAAGAGACCAAAAGATATGAAGTGAGATTTATAAAATGTTCTATTCAATTGGGGACGTTGATAATTCTTATATCTAATCTTATAGTTATATTTTGATAAGACAATTTAGGACGTCTACCTAGTGTTTATATACAGAAATCCACTTAATGGCATATGTATTATCTACATAACAAGCATATTTCTAAATTTCCGTGATCTATCAGCTTATGGAAAAGCCCACATATATTGCTTCACCGAGAATACCCAGAGGGATCTAGGGTAAGGGGCGTACCCACGGGACAACGCCATGTATGTTAAAAATTAAGGGTGAGATTCAGAAACGAGACTTATCGCTAAGTCTGACGCCAGAACGTCAAAAATGTATTGGATTTTCGCATTGGAGTCAGTTTAAAACAATGTATGTATCTACAAAATGTAAAAAATTGGTACTTTAAGTATTTGTTAAGATAGACTTCAAAATATAGTATACTAGAATTTTTTGATTCAATTAATTAATAACAAACAAACAATAACTAACCTTAAAATATAATAACTAAAATATATTATTAAAAGGAGTCCCTTTAGGCAAGGTTCCGAAGATACTGGCAGCGTTCCCCCTTTGAATAGCTAGACTAATTCTTTGTCCGAGGTATCTGCCAGCTCTTCGGTCTCCTGTGATGTCGAATAAACTTTCCTTAAAAAGTCTTGTAGCGCTATAGATCCCACGTACCAAGGGTCTCGACACCGAATGGGACAAAATCATATTCAACCCAACATAAAAAAAAAGTATAAATGTAAGGTTCAGATGTGTAAGTTTCAATGGTATCTTAATGCCATACCAATAAATATTTTTAAACAATTATATTTACTTCAGGTTTTTAACTTGTCTTTTTAAATAAATTGTAAAAAGTGAACTAATACCGTTAGTTTCTCTTTAAAATGATTGTATAAAAGCGATAATATGGTATTAATGTTCCAATACATTGGACATTATAAATGTATCTATTGTAATACGATTCCACCGGATCTCATTACAAATATAATAAAGTGTAACTGAGTATTTACTGGAAAGTTTTTCTGGGTTCTATGAACTTTACAGCGTTTAGATTTCATTCAGATCTAGGTATAATACAAAAGTTATTTTTCAAGTTTTTTTTTTATGGCAAGCGGCCGGATGGAATGTCTTTGATCCCTTGGAAAATGGGACGGGCTTTAGTATGGGATGCTACCTGTGTAGACACCTTTGCCCCGTCTCATCTCCTTCCGACAAGCAAAAAAGCTGGGGCGGCCGCAGAGCAGGCAGAAAATAATAAACGGCACAAATATAAGAGTCTTTCCTCCAACTTCAATTTTGTTCCCTTTGGAGTAGAGACTCTTGGGCCGTGGGGTTCAAGTGCACAGGCGCTTATTAAAGATTTAAGTTGGCGCCTGGTAGATAGTACCGGTGACCGCAGAGCTGGCACTTTCCTGGCTCAAAGAATAAGTCTCGCAATACAGCGAGGAAATGCTGCCAGCGTTAAAGGTACACTGCCACAGGGACCAAACTTTTTAAATTTGTTTTGATTTTCATTTTATTTATTTCTAATTATTTTTATAATCTATATTATTTAAGAAAATTGTAAATACTGTATTTGTGTAAATAAAAATAATATTATTTTTCACAATTATATACTAATAATTTTCACTGGGAAGTCATAAGACTACATAATAGAAATAGATTTTCACAATCTCAAAACACATGTTTTTTATGCATATATTATAGCAATAAATTATTATGAAGAATTAATTAAAAAACGAAACAATGTTATCCAAATTCATGCGGTCATCAGAGGGATTATGGCATATCATTGTGTTAAAACAAATATATATGCAAGACAGAATTCAAAATTATTAGTTTGTAAAAGTTATTGGCAATTCTTCATTAATCTTAATGATGCCCCGGTTTTAGAGCTGACCATGGAGCAGACATATTTCTGTATTTTACCTATTGAACTCTCCAGGCTAATTCCAGGCTGAAGCTTACAAATTTGTTAGATACGTATGAACCCAACAGTGCGACTGTTACTCATCAGCCGTCTCTAATTCCAGGGCCAGTCTACCAGTCAGAAGCGCGCGTCTTCTCCAACGCTCACGAACGCAAACACCATCAGATGGCGCCAGCGATGGCAGCACTTCACCAGCACCAGCGCCATCAACGCTTCTTCAAGACGTCGTCGACATCAAGACGCTGCTTCTGCAGCTCAAACGGGTCTTACAGGAGGTCAGTATCTGAAAACTTCAAAACTTCGTTACCATGGTTACGTTTTTACTTAGTACATTAGATGCGCATGAGACGTTTCCTAGTTTGTATTTTTACAAGTTTTGTTTCGTTTTTCTACCGTTATTAATAATAGGAATAATAAGTAATGTATAGAAGCTTATTACCAAGTAAAGAAAGCGTTGCCATAGTAACGTTTTATTTTATTATACGACTGTGCATGTGTTCAATTTTTTAATAGATTTTTTTAAAGCCTTGTGATTTATGTAAATTAATTTCTGTTCACCATTTTTTTAACACTTACGGTCCATAAGCAAACTTTTATTGAAAAACTACAAAACGTAGAACGTAATAAATAATGGCCTTAGAAAGTCCACATAAAGGTTATAATAATCCAATTAATAGCAATGCGCATAGTAACGATGTTAATGAATCGTTTGCATCACGCGCTTAATCTTTAGCAAGTATGAATTTAAATTAGTTGAAAGGTAACCGAGAGCTGTGTAACAAATCATTACTAGGGAATTTTGTTAAACTTAAAACTAATGATAAAAATCTTATTGTTACTTGAAAATCAATAGAGAAACACATTATAAAGTCTATAATCCATAGTCAAGGAATTTTACGTGAATTTTAGCGAAAAACTAGTCATGCAACTGTTATTGAATACGTGTGATTATATATTTATACTAAGAACCAATCTTGCTGAATGAAAACACTGAATCTGAAAGGTCTACTAATATATTTGCTAAGCATTATCTTCCATTTAGATTCGAAAGTCTGATGTATAATTAAAAATAACACAAGTTGAGGACATAATGATCATTGCATCAAGAGAATTTAATCATTCTCTCGCACTGTCAGTGGTTCGACTTTTACGTCGACATTCGATAGTCAGTAAGTTTTTAAATGTAAATTTATATTTTAAAAATTGGTATTTATTTATTAATCATCACAAAATATATCCACAGAATGAGTTACAAGCTTTCTTTTCTAAAATCCATGACAATTATGGCAATATTACAAAAAATTAGAAAGTAAAAATATAATACTTCCAATTTTAGATTTTAAAAGTAATTTGAGTTTATAATATTAGTCTTAATATACCAAGTATGATAGTAGTTTCATAAAAAGCTCATTATAAATAACTATGAGAAAATGAGCTTTATAATCGAGTTCCTAAGCATTGTTTTGCGGTTACAAAGATGACCGACTCGATAAACTATGCACTACCGTTGTTCGTTATCTTACTTCGATATACAAAGTCTTTTACGTTAAAATAGACTTCACTAATTATCCAATTATTTCCCGGTTATTAAGAGCGACCTTTTCCTGTCGTTAATTTGACTAAAGGTCTGTTTCACAATGTATGGATAAGTTCTACATAAGTTCCAAATTAGCTATTTATTACTTATTTGTAAGATAAACACTATTGTTGCGTTTCACGACTGTCAGATAGCGCTATTCGTCACATAAAGTCTATCATAAGCTATGAGTCCGATGAATGTCAAATAGCACAATTTATCTTACAAATAATTTGTGTTGCATAGTTATTTGGTACTTTATCCATACATTGTGAAACAGACCCTAAATGACAAAAATTGTTAAAGCAAGTAACAAGGCCATAATGTCGCGAGATGTTTTACAAGTAATTATTCTAAGTACAATTATTTATAAAGGACAATATTAGTTGATTACATTTTCACATGAAAAATTTGTAAGTATTTATATACGTAACAATTCTGAGAAATGCAAACTCATTTCGATTTATGAGTCCTATTATTACACGGCAAATTCATATTCTGAAGACTGAATCGTACCTTAAATATTGATTTATTAACTCAAGAACAACTTGTAATTAATGAGACCGTTAGTGCATTTAATGTTGCTTGTTCGCACATGATTTTCGTGTTGTAATTTTTATGTTTTGGTTGCATCGTTTCGCTGCACGCAATTCCAGCCGGGGGAGGAGCATCATACGATGAGTGTAAGTATTTGCTTGTGTGAGGAATTTGGTTGCACGAGACTATGGTATTGTAAACGCATTTCATTCTGTACATGAGTAACATACAGAAGATAAACCACTACTTATATGGAAATTGTATTCGTTTTTGCAACAAACTTCCAAGCGAAATTAGAGAATCATTACTAAAAAATTCAAAGCTCTCGTTGAACGTAAATAAAGCCTTTTTTATAAATTTGACGAATATCAATTTCTGTGACTTAAAACTTAGCGATCAAAAAGAGTGGCGGAGAGTTTCTTGCCCGCTATACGCCCTTGACTTGCGAAGTGGTGGTAAATTTAAATTAAGAATTAGTTTAACTTCTTTTCTGACGTTCAAAAGTGTACTTGTTTACCTATATGAATAAAGTTATTTTGACTTTGACATCCACTTATTTTAGAGCAAGTCTTCTTGTAGCTTTACAAGGATATTTTTATTACCCCAGCCCTGTGGGAACCCTTACGTAGGTATACCTACAAGAGTTCTCAAATAGAACCTTTTCTATAGTATTTTTCAGTATTTTTTTTATATTTACTCATATCGTTATAAGTAGGCAATCTTAAGTCCAGATAACTGGAAGCACATATTAGGAAGTGGAATGAAATGTGTTTAGAAAACTGGAAACTAACCGCTACAGCTTTTTAATTTTATGCTACGGATGCTAACATTGGGTTTGGTAATGTACATATTTAGATTTCTAATCCTATTTTTATAACACAACTGATGTTTTGAATATCTCCATACACCTATGAGTTTTTGTACCGCGCTATCCCAATTTTGAACTATATCGAAATTAGGATAAAAAACGTCGGATCCACTTGCACTTGCAATAATAATAAGCCTTTATTTATCCACATCTTATTGACATGAATTATAAAAAAGAAATATACACAAATTTATTATTCTAAGCGGCCCTTGTCCGAGAGAATGCCAACATCTTTTTGCTTTATTATATTTTTGCCGTTGTCATCAAATTTTCGGTCGCATTAATCGCTCTATTCATTTGCCCTAGTTTCTTGTGCTTCCAGCTCAGTCCATTTTTGACCATCTATATAACGGGCTATGTGTCCCTGCCCATCTCCATTTGCGGTGTTAGGCGGTTCAAGTTACAGTACCACTAATATAAAAAATGGCTCCTGTAATGTATACCTTAAATTTAATAGATATTCCTATATTTTGATTACCAATTTTAAATAATCGGAATTTCAAGCTTGCGACATCAACGCTCTATCTCTATAGTCTATTCCAGACAATGTGTTGTTAGCAAATGGTGGTTATTACAGCTCTTCTGGTCTTTAAGATTATAAACTTATAACAATTCCACAGGCCACAGCACACGCGCATTACTCACTTGAATGGGAAAGGGGAAAAATAAATAATTTTAATTTTTTTATATTTCTCATTATAATTTTTATTTAATTTTTTTTCTTTGATTATTGCTATTTTGTGTGTTTATGTGTGTGTGTCTTTGTTAGTAATAAATGTTATGTTTTTGTCTATACTACGTTTATGAATAAGACTCAGATTCAAAGTCAACACTTAGCGGGATGTATCATTCTTGTACGTCAAAATGTATGGGAGTCGGGCGTCATATTCACCGCTAAGTCGCGACTCGGATCACCTAAGTGGGTTTCACGATCAAAGAGTCATATCCTATTTAATGTATCTAATTATTTTGTACTTTAAATTTAATTTATACACAACGCCTTTTGTTGATAGTAAAAAACATATTCTCACCCTTCACTTAAGAGATTGTTTGCCCACTCTTCACATGTTTTGAGACAGTGCTTACACCCAAGAGTACTACAAGACAAATTGCGAGCTACGGATGTTACGAAATTATTAGTCGGTATTTTTCATAGTAAACTATGATTTAATGAAGCAATTAAAAACCATTTTAGTATTAAGAAAATATTTCAAATGTTAAATTTTAATAAACGGATCGAAAAACAATATGGAAAACTTAATCAAACCGTATTGTAACAACGAAATTCTGCATCGATATTTCTGCATCTGGTTCATTATTACTTTGTATTATAAGTAGATTATACGACTCGAATCCAATTAAATCTTTTATAAACTTTTATTGATTACTTTATAAGCAATTATTTTCTTGATTTCTTACGAAGCCTTTATAAGTCCAAAACAATTATTGTTTTTCGATAAGAAGTTTCTCCGAATTTAGCCACGGCAGCAACCATAACTGTTCTACTGAATTAGAAAATTTTCTCTTATAATTAACACAATTAGCAGCAGTTAGCAAAGCTTAAACGAATCAACAACAAAACATCTGAGATATTTAGAAAATTTACAAGGTACAGTACTTCATTGGGATCTATTTTCATAATAATTTGAAGAGGTGTTGACATTTATCATGTAATAAAGAATGCTGGTTTTGCTTCTAGATGCTTTTATAATTTATATAATCGCTTGTCTATATAGATATATGTTACCGGAGATGTATGTAATCCGTCATAATATACATTTCCTCGGAATTGTATGTAATTCCTAAAATCGCACGGAAATGTGTAAAATAAATTATATTATACACATTTCCTAGGAAATCTTTACATTGTTATTTACATTGTACATGAAGAATAGTCTGTTTTACCCCTAGATTGTTTTTTTATTTAGGAAGAGTAGCAAGCTGTAAGATAATAAGAAGATTATTATATTTTACGATATGACTGTTACCTGAACGTTGTTGTCTCAACGAGTGCTAATAAAAATTATTATTCTCATTTTAGGAACGTGTTTTATTACAGAAAGCATTATGTTTATACATTTCCTAAAACGATATGAAATTACATATAATTCCTAGGAATTGTGCACATTTCCTAGGACATTTATGTATTAAATAGTTTTCGAAACAATATTTTATACATTTCCTAAATAGCTTCGGAATTATATAAATTTCCTAGGATTTGTATACAATTCCTAGATTACATACATTTCCGGTAACGTATACATATATTAACGACTGGATTTGATAGGTCAGGGAAGAATTTATTAATTTAGAAGTTTTTCATCATCGTAACATACAACGTAACCATAGAAACTGACACGATATGTACCTACTAGCTTTATCCACGCTTTGTTATAAGGCCGTTATTGTTGCAATTTGCCGTTTGATGTTAAATACCGCTTGCATGGCAACAGCTAACAGCTTACTTCAAAACGGACGTGTAGATTGGTTTTGTCGTTGTTTGCCTGTTTGTGTTCTGTAAGGTCAGCGTTCGGATGGTGTCGGTTTATCTTGCAATCCAAGGATGTTTGGCATACAGTTTGCTACGTATACGTTTGGCAGCGTCTTGTGCGCGAGCTTCGGAGGGACGTTTTACTTGCTACACTTTCGATGTCGCGCGAAGTAACTGTCTGTTTCAGAGCACCTACGATTCTGACATTTTTAAGAAACTCTCAAGATAAAACCGAGTAAAGTGCATGGTCGAAAGCGTTGACGCGTTCTATGTATTTTAATCATCCACCATCGTCTTTGCTCTTCTTTTTTCTTTCTCTGCTTTAATTTATAATAAAAATAGTCAGCCCGAAAGTAATAGCTGCAACAAGCTCGTCGCCGCCTGTTGCCGCTTCGGAATGTTATGAACGTTCCCAGCATGTGGACGCCTGCTGCTGTGTATGCGGTGAAGTGTTCGTGTTGACTGGTTGTTTTGCGGTGTTTGTGACCTGCCAGCGTGTGGTCCATTGAATACTTATGTTGATACTGTAAGTTCTCTGCGAACAACTTTAATTGTATCTGACTTGAAGTAAAATATGACGAGTTGTACTTGTCACATACATTAGATAATTTGGCGGCTTGTGTGTTTCAGAGCGATCTCTCACTGGTTGGCGGCGTGCGGGAAACCATAATGAGAAAAAATGCGGCAATTGCCCTGCGTGTGCTAGTTGTATCTCTTTCATGTTTAGATAGATGTTTAGGTTATAAAACATTTCAGAACTTCTGATACAACGATACTCTTGTATCAGAAGTTCTACAATTGACGATTTAAATTTACATTCAATGCTAATTCAAAATCAAAATATAATTTATTCATATATGTTATTGTGGACTTATGAACTCCAAAAAAATTTCTAAGTACATAACTTAGAAATTTTTTCAAGGGCGTAAAACGGACAAGAACTGACTAGAAACTCTCCGACACTTCTTTTAATCGCCAAATAGTTTGTTTTACAAGATAGAGGTACTATACTTTGCTCCATATGACATGAAATGGATCGTATGATAAAAATTTGCCGCTATTAAAAATATTGCACACAATTTGCAGAGTCAGTTAGAGGAGCGTGACCGTCTGGTGCGCGTGCTGCAGCAGCAGATGCTGAGGATGGCAGAGAGCCATGATGCACGACCAGATGACACGTGCAATGTTGCTACGCAGACTGACAGGGTAAGGCAGGAAAAGGAACAAAAAAAAAATAGAACAATAAAAGCCAAAAATATACACGCATTTTCGTTTTAAAATTTATCGCTCATCTCGAAAAAAGAGTTAAACCGACATACGAAACCAGGCTAGCGCACTTTAAGATGTTGTCATTGGAAAATCGGTTGGTTTGTATTTAAGAAATGTAACAATCAGGTTGATTGCTCCAACCTTTTAGCTAAATTTAAATTTCGCGTACCCTCTAAATATGCCTGGGGGCATCCCTTTATCCCATTTGTCCCCTTTTGAAAGAACGTTTTGTTCAATACTCATCGATATCCAGATTGAGCATTCCGATAAACGAGCTGGGTCTGATATCCATAATTGCTCTACTCACGCTTTGAAAATGATTTTCGTTTAGTTTTTTTATATCTTCGTGTATGTTATGTTTGCCTTTAAGCGCTTGTCACATTAAAAAAATATATTTTATTTTTCTTGTACCAATGTATAAGTGTACCTAAGATTTGTAAATAAATAAATATATAAAATTGTAATTATTCACAGTTGCGGCCGCCGATGGGTACAACGCTAACCAGTTCTGAAAATTCCGGATTAGTGAGGTAATTGTTTGCATTTAACATAACACCTATATTCACTTTCAACACTTATTTTCCCGATATTAAATCGAACGAAATCTTCAAATTCATTCATCGTATTTATTTATCTTACAGCACTTATTTGTTTTAGGTTGATTACAACGTTACACTCATTAAAATCTCAATTGTATAGTTATTTCACATCTATCTCTTTATTTATTCCGACCATCCCATCTTTAAACCTCTCGCCCTACACGGCGAATTTATATGAAAGTACCAAATCTACTTTATCGACAACTTATGAATTAGCCGGTGTCGGTAAATCCAAATGGATCGTTACATTTAAGGAATATATGAATAGAAAAATTATGTTCTCAAATATTTGCAGAATCACCCTGACAATGACGCCGTATTTTACTGGTGTCTTCATTTGATAATTTTGCTATTCTATAAAATTAAGTATAAGCTTATTTATTTATTTTTAGTTTAGTCAACGTGAAAGTAAGATTTGCTTGATCTTCAAAATATTGATTTCACATTAATCGCTCCATTAGTTTCACAATCCATCTCGCCATCTACAACGATTCTCGTCAAAAATCTTAGTTTAAATCTGTCATTTTTCTCACATGCTGCTTTAATTTCTTTGGGATGTATTCGAAATGATGTGTAACGACAGTTTCCACTTGGGCGGTGCGAGGGTTCGTCCGTCAGATCAGGTAGAATGGTTGGACTGCTTGCTTGCCGTGTGCCTGTTGTGCTCGATCAATGTTTTTTGCTTGTTGCATCTGTTTTACAGGAGCTCCGATAATTTTTACGATGTCGATTGTTGCAACAAAGTTTTTAAATAGGCCTTTTTATATCTGAGGTAGTATGGTATAATCTTCACTTTCATTGTATCTGCTGTCTTTTTGTAACTGGGTGAACAATACTGACCAAAACCACCTCAGACTGAAACTTTTGATTGTTTTATAAAAGATTTTACATAACAGTCCAGAGTACATAAGTGCCTTGATTTTAGCGTTTCATCTGTTATAATATTTGTACCGTACAATGTTTTGAGCAGTTGTTACTTTTGTATAATGCTTTTAATTTATAGACTCGTTGCACAAGATAGTAAAGGTTCCTATATCGATAAATTATTTGTTTAAAACTCCAAGGGTTACTAGTATAGTTGAATACTGAGACTCTTGCAACAGATATGCTTTTTTGCTAAATGTTCTGTGATTAAATGCCTTCAATTTAAAATACTGAATTTGGTCTTTCGTGTTTGGACTTGAACTTTTTGTCATTGACATTTAATTGTGACTTGATTATGAAACTGTTTTCTGTGTTACACGCTGCCTCGTCAGAATTTAAAGGTGAGGTTTGTTTAGTGTGCTTTTGATGTCTTGCAGTATTATTGTGAATGAATGAACCTTACACGGTAAAGCCTAAAGCCTTATCCAAAACTTTTTATAAATTTAGTCATTGCTAATTTGTGCGTTTAATATATTATTAGTTTCATTACAAATATAACAACTACAAATTCAAAGAAACTGTGATCAGATCCTATTATGTCATTGATAAATGTAAAATCTCTCAATAGATGAAATTTGTCATTAACATTAATTTAATTAATTACAGTTGGAATGAACAAGGGAACGGGAGAAAGCTGCCGTCTTACAGTGAAGCACAAAAGACAAAGAGACCTGTTACCAACGGGGTAGTGAAATGTCAGTGTGGTGCGAGAAAAGTGAACGGACTTGACGACACTCAGACAGACAGACTTGACACGGTACACCTAAAACCTAACAGCCGCGTCGGTACCAAGTACCTCCAAGCCGTGACCAACACGGAGAACAGACGGTACATCAAAAGAGACTCGTCTCTCAGCGAAAAGTCCGACCGCAAAAACCTATACACGAACAGATCTAGGTCCATAGAAAATTTCCAAAATCAAAACTATTCTACAGTCGAACTAAAACCGACGGTGATCGAAGAGACGGGTATCAAACATCATACGTCATACAGCGATCTCTATAACGGCAGAATTAGTAGTAGGGAAAGCGTTAACAGACACAGTCCAAGTCTCAACGGTCAGTCCACAGACACGGACTACAGCTCCGATGGTGGATACAAGTCTCTTCCTTCATCTATTAACTACGGATCCCCTAAAAAAGTTAGCGGCATTCCCAGGAGGTCGCTCGAGCAAAAGTTTATATCGACAAAGCAAGTTAGAGCCAGCGCCGTTTGATTCGCTTCCGGTATATTTTTTGCAGCTTATTGTTTGACAGTTAAAATGATGGCGGTTGTCACTGTCAGTTTTGGCACATTTAAATTATAGATACGGTATTTTGACAATAAATGTGTTTCGATCAATTTTAAATTAGAAACTATGAATTTTGTTTTGGTGAACTTTCTGGAAAAGTTTGAGCAGTGGCAACTCAGGGAAAGCATATCAAAGATCGCTGTCACAATTAAGTGCTCATGCGCATTTACAATTCCTCGCGACGCTAATATTAGTTACTTGGATGCCAAATACTTTAATCTGCTTTTGCAATTTTCAGGGTTATTTTAAAAATTTGTTTCTACAAAACCATTACCTTGTAATATTAGTAGTATTTATATTTTAAAGCAAAAATTATTCTGTTACAAAATGACATTATAGCTTTAATCTGTGACGGAATTTGACACGTCCTCTAATCAATAGCTTTAATGACATTTGACGTTTAAGTCTTGATTAAAGCTAATTAATCAAGATTTAATTAATGCAACTAAATGAACTAATCAATAGTCTATTTAAAAATGATCTACAATAAAAATTACAGAACAAAATCCATATTTTTAAAATAACCCAAATGACATGAAATGCGTTGTTTCAAGCAATTTTATCATTGACACCTGTATAGTATAGGATAGTACTGGAAACTATTTTTCGTAGTTATTAATTTATGCGATAGATATCATCTTAGATTTTCTATGATAGACAAAGTAGATAATAAAGCTATGTGATAAGAGTGGCTGTATTTTTCTGTATCCCTTGTATGAAATAATTTTTAGTTATCAGGTATCAAAGGGGCTGAGTTTTGTTTCATTAATAACTGCATTATTTTTGTTGCAAAGATCCACAATACATAGACAAGATATTCAGATTCTTGAATCTCTGGTTTTAAAACTACATTGTAATAAAACGTCTTTAACATAGACGCGAACTTATTTCATTATTTAACTTGACGTTTCGAGCTTTTCAGTTGTCACTGACAGATTGCCATCTCAGATGACACATTTAAAATGTCAAGTTAATGTATGTTTGCGTTTTGTTAAAGTTTTATAAGAGATTTCGACTCGAAATATTTTTTATTTTCCCAATGAATTAGAAATTTTTGTTTTTTTTAGTTGAATGATATTTTACAATTATTTACATAACTAATTCATATATTGTAAAACATATGCTATGTTTATGTATATATAAACATATATATGTTCGATATAAAATATATAGATATTTGCGACATGATTGCCACATTATTAAGGTATGTATGAATGTATAAATTTACAATAGTATATGAACTAATTAGATATTGCCTCAATACAGTGATTTTTCACTTCAATTGTTTCTAAATTCTTCCTAAAGCCTATTGATACCTAATGTATACCTATGTACAAGCTCCGTTTTTTTAATTGCTCTCAGAAATAGCTTTAGTGAAATTATATAACGTTTAATTTAAATATCAAATTGTTTCAATAAATAATTTTAATTTTGTATGTATTTTTTCCTCACCTCACCAATCCTTTATTTGCATAGAAAGTGTTAATAAATAACGGCACAGTCACGTCAAAACACTTTTTTATAAAAAAATTATAGCAAAAATAGAAAACTAAAATACATTTTAAAAGTTTGGTACCTGTGGCAGTGTACCTTCAATGCTAACATTTCCTCGCTATATTTCGATACTTATTTGTTGAGCGCGGAAAGCCACAGCTCTCCGTTCACCAGTATTATCCACCGGGCGCCAACTTAAATCTTCAATGAGCATTTGTGAACTGAAGCCTATACTCCAAACAATATCGTAAATTTTTGCCGTTTAAAATATTCGGACTGCTCTGTGGCTGCGCCAGATTTTGTGCTTGTCTGAAACAGATGAGGTGGGGCTAACATTTAAATTATATAAAACGGGTGATAAGATTGGGATTGGAAGATGAGAAACGAACACCTTTTTTTAAGGTACATACACTTTAATAGCAAAAATAATAAAATAAAATTAATATTAAAGAAATTAAAGTCCTAAACCAATTTTGATGACTTTTTGTGTGTATTTAGTTGATTCGAGAATCTTTTAGATTTACAAATAGACGTTTTTAAGACCTGTACGGACGTCTGACGGGTCCGCTAGTTTACTATAAAAATGATTCAGAGTGGATGGTATTATGAACATATAGGAATGGACTAGCATTACATCCGCTGATGAGCTGTTTCGATTAGCACATGATACGCGACAATCTAAATTGTTAACTGAGCGTTTCTATGGCAGTTTTTGCCGCACACCAACACTATGTGGAACCAACTGCGCACTGAAGTATTTCCGAACCCATTCGACTTAGGTTCCTTCAAGAAAAGAGCGTACCAATTCTTAAAGTGAGCCCTTTTTACCCTACCCTAGTATAATAAGGCCTACAGACTGCGTTTTTAAATAAAAAAACGTGTGTGTACTTAAGTATATGTACACGCGTTTGAAGTTATACTTCTTTGGCGTAACAAGATAAAAATATTTTCAAAAATTTTATCTTTTGCCTTATTCTACGTTTGTAGAAAAAACAACACTAACAATAGAAAAAAAATACTCTCATAATTTTTCCCTAATGCGCCAAAACACGCATAACTTTAAAGCGTTATATTTTTTTTTGGTTTTAAGCTAGAGAAGTTTTTTTTGTTTAAACTCAGTTGTAATATAAGTACAGGACTGATTAATAACAAATATTGTTGATTATGTTGGATACTTTTCATTTTATTACAAATTTCCCTTAGCTAGGCCTTAATAAATTAATAACCAGATACCTTAGTTCAAGTTGAACAAGTTTTGCGTATATAACACAAAACTTTTTAAATTTTCTACCATTAAGTAATTAAGTATTTACAATATTCTTAAACTAAATATACTTTTATTTAATAGATACATATTACAAAAGAATCCGTTCTCTATCAACGGATCGTGTCGCTAGTTTATTTTGTTACCATTCTACCCCTGATTATTTACACCTATTTTTTCCTATACGTTTTTGACATACAAGTCATATTAGTGCTAACTCAAAGCTACCTCAACCCCACAAGAATTATCCATGCCATGCTGACTGATTTCGGCCCCTACTTTCTATGGTAACATATCTGTCATACACCGTTCTTGAACCTTGGACAATGCTGTGATAAGCGTGTATACTATCAATTACTAATAACAGCTGTATTGCCACAGTCTGCTGTCATATAGTGGTAAAAATAAATAACATTGATACGATAAAATACCGCACATCAATGTTAATTTCGCCGAATCTGAACAGTACCCGAAGAAAAATAATGCTGAAAATCCCTTTTTTTCTTTCTTATTTTTGACTAGGACCAGAATTATCTTATAAAGAATCATGGCTGTATGTGTGCACGGTAGGTATATATATATCGTATTTATATCTATAAGTAACTGTATTATTAACTAAAAATTATGGAACACCATATTTCTGGACCTCGGATTAAATAATGAAAGCATAAGAATCAATTTTATTATATGCAAAAAATTGTCCAATTTCCCCACTACAAATGCACGCTGTGGCCGCAATATATGTGGGGTCATTCTTACCAGTTTCACTCCGCACTCGGTCTGCCTTACACAACTGCGCTTGCGTTCAATTCCGCTCCAAATACCCGCGATTTCTATTATTGTGAGAATTTGTGAGTACATTTTTAATCAACTTGTTTACAAATAAAAAGGTGAACAATCTTTAACCGGATGAACTTTTTAGACATAACATTTCACTATTTTCTTTAATGAGGTTATCGTTAAAATGGTCCATATTAATTAGGGATTCTATTTTGTAATTGTGACAGTTGGTACTGGATTTCGTATCCGTTTTCACCTATAAGTTAGTTTAGACCTTTCGAAGAGTGAAAATATGACAAAGAACTGAAAATCTTCAAACCCAAACATAATACACTCAGTTCCGGTCCATAAATTGAAAGTAATAGGTTAGTATTGTTTTATTGTGACTTTTATCGTGCATTGTTAACTTATTAATACAAATTATATACCATTAAATTCTATAAACACAGTGGCACTGGTCCATTAAATATTTAAATCTCTGTCTGATTTAACACGCCTAAAATCGCAATTCTGATTTCAGTGAAATACTTTTCTAGCGTGATTGGTCAAAACTTTTACTAACGTCTAAATCATTAACTTAATGAAAATTTTCTTTAATCGTCCTTAACCCATATCAATAATCAGTATATAAAATGTAGCATTTATAGTTGTGTATGACGTATTAATTCCACTATTAGTTACGTTATTAGAGGTCGGCATTTGGCCTTTTTATCAACATTGACGATACGATGTAATCAATATTAAATAGGACATAGATTTAACTTTAACTGAACAGTGTTAGTCAAAAACTTCCGAGAAATTCATACCTTTTAAAACTATTATCCTGGAACGCTTTATTCGGTAACTATTGGTTTTTTTGAGAACTTTTGTGTTGGATAGATCATTTATTGAGGAGCTCCATCATCCATGTCAGTTCTTATACTGTAAGAAATAGTCTTTTTTGAAAACATTTTAACTATAACTGTTGAAATAGTTGTTTTGTATGTCAGGTGAATGAAACAAGAGATCTGTAATGGTATTTTTTTATTAAATAAAAGCTATACGCCAAAAACTTTAAATTATTTAAATATACATAGTTTTTATTATAATACGCATTTTATCTTTGTATTATAAGAATGGTTACAATAATTATAAACTGTTATAACAATCGTTGGTCATATGTTTTAAGACTATGATCAAATTAAGAAATTATTAATTTACCTTCCCGTATCGATAACTTTTGTTATGTAAAGATAAATCTAAGTTCAATAAACTTTCCAATCGAATATTTATTCATCAGAATTTTGATAAAAAACGTACACAATTTTCTAATACTTTACGAACACGAGTAAATGATAAATAATTGAATATAAATTTTGTGAAAGTGGGCGAGATTTGCAACTCCTAGAGTAAGTATACAATCTATCTAGCGTAATTATATTTACTCCACTGGCGCAGTGACCCAAAGTGATAGTCTCCGATAGGAGAAAATAACCTTGATTTTTTTTTATAGAACAGGGGGCAAACTGGCTGGAGGCTCACCTAATGTTAAGTGATACCGCCGCCCATGGACACCCTCAATGCCAGAGGGCTCGCGAGTGCGTTGCCGGTCTTTTAAGAATTGATACGCTCTTTTCTTGAAGGACCCTAAGTTGAATTAGTTCGGAACATTGGCAAGCGGTGACCCAGAGTGAAGTACCGTTTTGCCTGCTGAGCACACCAAGCTTTTTGGGAGGCTAATTTAGCCTTTCCCTACAAATGATCGCGAAACTGAACGTCGATCAATATGTAACGTCAAGTATTCCGATGCTAGCTGTGGCTGATCTTAGATGTGACCTTGATCCAATTCGCGCAAATCCCTCTCCACAGCATCTTTCCAGCAATGTCTGCGGAGGCTGAAATTCCTAGATATGCTTTTTTCGGACTTCTCTCTACTATTTTTAAAAACCAAAAGCAGAGTGATTTTATCTCACGCCCCAGGGACTATGTTACACAGTTCAGATGATCGCCTTCAATAACAATCATACATTGTGTTTACAGTATACACGCGAAAAATAACATGAGGAGAGAACCACAGAGCTTACGATCTAGATTGAGGGAGGAATTTTACACATACTGTGCCTTCTGGATAGCCGTGTCCGCTTTACCGGCTCTGGCCCTATCTTATGTCGGTAAGCAAAAGATTTAATATAGTCTTGGGGCAGACGCATTTGTATCTCTGTTTCAATGATAATTCAAGGCAAGTAAGAGAACGAATATCAGTTTCAACGAGTTGGAGTCATTCTTATTGATGAACTTACGCTTTATTATAATTTTTATGTTAAAACTTAAGTGAATTTTATTTATTTTGAAAGCTATTCATTATTTTAATGGTTATTCATGCGCCGTGTTTTGTCATTTTTATTATTATTCCCTTCAAATCATACTATAAATTTATAAGTATCTATGTTATGTTAAAATATAGGTTTTTATAAAATTATTCACAGAGAATCCTCCATTACTTTCGCAAGTAACGCAAAAGTGAAAAAAAAAAACAATTTATTTAGTCAGTAAATTAATAAATAAATTATTAAACGTTGATATCTATCGATTATTTTGAGGTCAATGGTCTGAAACAAATGCCTATATTGTGTAAATACTAATTTAGTATCATAATTATGATAATAATTGATGTTTTCGCAATTCATAAGGAATTTTCCAATATTAAGCCGGAAAATGGTTCTTATTTCAATCTGAGTACAATATTCTGGTAAAAAGGCCGGCAACGCAGTCGCTATTTGGCAATGTGTGGGCTGCAGTATCATGCTTAATCAGCCTTTTTTCCCAATCTATAAAAATATGTTTATAACCACAACCTTTAAAATTATTTTATAGTATATTTCTTTAACATAATCACAACTTATATACAAAATTCTTGTATTCCAGCTGTAAGAATAAGCAACCATTTATGGCTAAAACTGCTGTCGAGCCGCTACCCGAGTGTGGAGTTTATAAGAAATGCTACAATTCGTTCCTTACTGGACACAAACAGGAACCAGGGGATCATTAATGTTTTGTTATGTATAAAAGGTATGTACAATAGACGCACCTGTTAACCAATAATGTAATAAAACGATTGCATATTAAATTACCCACTTGAAGAACTCGACCCTCATTTCTCGAAATAGCAATTTTTTTTAAGTTCAGTGCCGTATTTATGGAATTAAAATAAAATAAATAAATGGCGCTACAACCATTGTAGGTCTGGGCCTCCGATTTCTATCTGTATCATGGCCATTTGTTAATGTAATAGGTAAGTAGGTTATCAGCCTTCTGTGCCTGACACACGCCGTCAACTTTTTGGGTCTAAGGGAAGCCGGTTTCCTCCCGATGTTATCCTTCACCGTTCGAGCGCATGTTAAATACATAACATAGAAAGAAAGTCCATTGGTGCACAGCCGGGGATCGTACCTATGACCTCAGGGATGAGAGTCGCACGCTGAAGCCACTAGGCCAACACCGCTATATCGACATAAACATCTAAATACTATTTGTATAGCCACTGTTGTTCCCCAAGTCTCGCGACGAATATCGGAGTTCCAAAATACAAAGTAATTGTTGCAGAATGGGGCGCTTCAAACATTTGTCCAGGCATCATTATAAATATGTATATGTACACAAAAGTATTGTCTTGCATTAAAAGTTTAAGTTTAAAAGTAACTTTTGTTTAAAGGGCCGGCAACGTAGCGAGGCCTCTGTCATTGAGAGTGTTCGTGGTATCACTTAATATTCGGTGAGCCTCCTGCCCGTTCTATAACAAAAGCCTTATTAACAGATGGACTGGATACTGTTTGTAACCATGGTTTATAAATGTAAAAGGCTTTTCTTTATTATTAGTTTAACTTAAGAATGTTTTTTACACAACACAGGCACACTAAATGCAGAGGATGTCAAACGCGAACTGACGGAACATGTAATAGATCGAAGAAATCAAAATGGAGACCTAGTGTTCCCAAGATTGAGACAACTTCTTGTGTCGTACTGGGGGAATTATGCTTGGGATGGAAACGTTCCATTTCGACCAGAAAATCATGTTTTTGTTGCCAACGCTGTTTATAGAGGACGTCCTGTTAGTGACGCAAATATACAAGTAAGTAGGTATACTTAGGCACGAATTCCAAAATCCAACTTAACATTAAGTCTTAAGGTCTATAATTGTTTACGATACTGTTATACTATTATGTGTATGTTATACTAGTACTTTCTTGATATACATAAATGTACTGGTGTTTGTAATCAAAACAGGTCTGAATGTTTATAAGGAGATATTATTTTTTGACGTGACAACGTCTAATAAATCGATGAACGCTGGCTGCACGCACGAAAAAATATGTCTCTAATGAGCGTAACGGGACATTGTCCCGTTACGCTCATTGTACGCTTGCGCCGCATCTATCTCATTTCCACTCGATTGGTCTATGCGTCCGAGGATTCACTGCTTCTTTGTATATACAGTCATAAAATATGCAATCATTGCATTTAATATGTTTTGTTATGACGTTGTCACGTTATCTACAACTATCATCCGTACACCGACTTTACAGGCAACCATTTTTTTTAAATGAATAGTTTTTTATGAAAGTCCCGCTTCTTTTTATGACTAGACTTGCTACTCTCTTTTTACACCTCGCTTTAAAAGGTCAGCTCATATCTGGCATATATTTAGATACCTTTAATCTCTGAGCATTCTCGGCTAGCCATTTTGGGCCAAAATATAATTAGCTATACCAATTAAATATTTCAGGATTACATAAGCGACGTGATATCAAAATACTTTCCCAGTGATCACCCTCCATGGCAGTATATAATCATTCCATGTGTGTCCACGGAAACCAAGTATTATATACTAATACGAGTTCACCACTTACTTCTCAGCGGGAAGAAGTCTCTAAACATTGGCGACTTACTTCTCATGGAACAGCTCCCACATCGCTGTCTCGATAGAATTGAATTATGCCATAACAGTCCACTATCAAAATTATTCCCCACACCATCAGCTCTTCCAGAGTTGTGGTCCAAGATTAACGAAAGTTTATCAAATATTTGGAACGAATTTATATGTGAATATGACCCTGTTGAAAGTCCAAGGGCACTTAAAACACTGCCTGGAGCATTTCATGTAGCTGGATTAGTATTTATATCAACAGCAAGTGCGTTAAGAGAATTTTCAAAGAAGAGGACGCAAGACAGAGAAGCGCCTGCAGCTATGACAGCAGCAAAATTTCTTTTAGCCATACAAAGAGAATGTAAAAGGCGGAACTTAAATGTACCAAAGGTATGTAACGTGTGAATATTATCAATTTGTATTAAAATAAACATCTTCGTTCAAGCCAGAAATTAATATAAGGCACTTAGACTAGACCCTCTCCCTATAGCTAAGACCAACATCTGTTCTATAAGTTTGTCCTTTCAGATTTTAATTTCGCCTCTAGTAACCGTGGATCCCCGAAAATGGCCACGGAGGATGTTTGAAACTGCGTTTACGACGGCCAAAACTATGCTAACACTACCCTTTAAAATACGGGATGAAATTACCGCTATCAATGAATTAAGAACGATTGGCCTAGTTCGGCAAACTGACACGTTTACATGGAAGTATGGGGATATCGCTCAATTGCTTGTGAAAGCCACTGGCGAGACATTAAGGGGTATGAAGGAAGCATACCGAGCACCTTGGAAGTTGTGGACTGATACTATTGGTGCTGACGATGGGAAACGACATCTCTTGCAAACTATTTCTTTGTGCGGGAGGAAGGTAGACCTTTTTGCTATTTATTGTAGCCGTACTAATGAAATTAGAAAGTTTAAAAATGGAAATGTTGTAGGAATACTTTACACATTAAATTTGAAAAATATTCAATTCCAGGTGGCATCATTTTCCCGACCTATACCACGAGCGGACATTGACAGAGCTGCTCGTGCTTTGGGCGTGTCTTCCACCGACATCGCACTGTTTGCTGCCACAGAATCTTTGCGAGCTTTCTTTGAAAACGCTCAAAGTGAAACACCTGATTCCATATTAGTATCAGCAAGAGCAGCCTGTGAGGACTTTCTTTATACTTTTGCTGAAGGCAATGGCAAGAATTATAAGAAATCGCAAACTGGAGGTATGACAAAAAACGTTTACGTTGTATGAATTCTGAAATGCAAATAGAAAATTTGGTATTTAAAAAAATTATAATTATTTATTAAAATATAACTGTTATTAATTAAATAGCACGAGATTATCTATAAGAAATAAGAGTAGCTGTCGTGAGACCATTCGCGTCTTAATATTTAGAAACAAAAATTCATAAAGCAAACGTTTAGTTAATTTGGATACTAAGTAGATAAAATAACGATTCCAGGAATGGTTTGTCTATCTATTCCCGTTGGTGCTACACCACGTCGTATAGCCTCCGTCGTCGATGGAGCATGCAGTCGCCAAGTTGCCTTGGCAGGGGCCTGGGCAGCCCAAGCCAGATGTGGAGCCTTAACCAGATCGGTGCCTTCGCCCTTCGCAAGACTGACACTTAATGCACTATCCAGACGATACGCTGTTTCATATGCGGAAATAAATGCACCAACTGATGCTCAACGGAGAAAAACATTGTGGGGACAGGAGGTTGATGGCGTTGTGTATTGGAGGCCACCACAGGCTAACATAAGTAAGTTACATTGTATTGTATGCGATACTTCGATAAAAAGCGGTACAAGTAAATGGCTCTTCTAATTCTACATAGAATTCTATCATGTTTCTGTGTAAACTTGTAAATGGAATTTTAGATACCCCTGATATCTTGTCCAGAGTAAACATCTCTATTCCTAAAAAGCTGCAACGATTTACAAAGCCTCCTTTTTGAATTAAGTTTGCAAAATCGAATCTGGGTCAGAATGCTCTATTAAATAGATCTTTAAGGTGTTATAATTCAATTCATAACGCTGAATTTGATGGTGGTATTGGATCGCAGTGGGTCGTAAATTCTCCCAAATAGATATTTTTTCAAACTCCTCATCAATTCTCAAAAAGTTAGCGGCTCAACTGATTAGTAATTAGGATTTTATTAGGAATAATCAATTAATTTTGCATTGTTTTTTTTTTTATCTTAATTTAAATATTTTTTAGTGTATAAGCTTCATAATAATTAGAATGTTGTATGCGCCTATAATTGGGGTAGCACTTGGCTTGTGTTTGTGTTACATGCATGTATCAGTGACTACTTTATTGGTGCAATAAATAAATAAGTAAACAAATAAATCTTTTAAATTCATGAGTCTTTTGACTCAAAAAGACTCAAAATATTTTTTGAAGTATGTTTTTTCCTGAGCAGGACAAAAAAATATATAAAATGTTGATGTATCTGGTAAAACTTTTAATCCGCTTCGTTGAGCTAACTACGGCCTAGTAAAATATCACTCTCAGGTCTATTATATTTCTCCTTAGCGTTGCGTTTGATTATAATGTCATAATAAAAAGAACAGTTAATTATAATCGTTGTCAGAATTTATGTCTAAATACGCTTCCATTAAAGGCACCTTGCCTTTAAAAATTTAATCACTTTCCCGTTGAAAGCATTACACGGCAGTGATATAGGTAGGTGATTAAATAGTAATTAGTTTGATAGCCATGGCTTTGGCGATTTTTTTATACACATCGTGGTGCAACATGCAGGCAGCCACAGGCTCGTTGGATCTCTCGGTAGATATAGGCATGTTTCTTTAAGTTTCATAATATTTCCTCCTTAATTGAATTTACTGGTTTCAGGTTTGTCCCTAACCGTAATCCAGTACGCAGATACAGTCCGACTTACTGTTATGGCTGATGCGAGACTTACGCCCTTACACACAGTACCTTCCACAAGATGGCCGACAGCTATCGAGCAATTAGTCAACAGGATTGACCAACAAATTGCCAGGATTACCGGACGTCCGATAGTTCCATTAATTCAGAGAGTTCAAGATACTTTAGAAACTGTCCAGGAACCAGTGAGTGAAGACGATTCAGAAACATCAAGACAGGCAGAGACGACACAAACTCTACCACAAATTACGGAGCCAGAAAGTATAGAAAGAGACGAGTCGCAGAGAACAGATACTAGTCAAGTGTTAATTCCGCCTACAATAAATATCCCAACACGACATAGTTTTACGAATAAATAAAAAGAGGCTAAATGCAGCTTTAATATGATTTAGGGATGAAATTCAAAGAGAGCTCGAAATATTGTGTTTTTGTGAAATATTATTTGAAAGAGCAGTACTGAGAAATTTACTTATTTTTAAGATTAAAATAAAATTAATTTTATACAAAAAATAAACATATTTTTACCATTTAGATAGGTATTTATTTTCTGTCTTTGACAAAATTTTCTTAAAGTTAATTGAATGAAGAAAAATTACGATAACTTTACACTTTGACTTATAACTCTAAGACTTTATAAACAAAATTTTTAAGAAAACACTTTTTTGCCGGATTGAAGTTATGTATTATTATAAATTTACAATTATTTTACATAATTCTAAATTTTTCCGACGTTTCGCGTGCTTTACAGCGTGCGTGGTCACGGTGACTGAAGACAAAAGGTCTTGTATTTCAAAAAGTATTACAGCTGTAGAAAGAGTCGTATTATCTGTATTTATTTCCCCGGAGTTGATATCGACTAAAAGATGGAGGGTTTTGGCAGAAATGACTCACGGTGTCCTTTATTCTAATCCAACAATCCGCGAAAATAGAGGAGGAGAGTTGGATAATACCGAGCCCCTAAGGACTTGGACCTATAATTAGGAAACTGTTTGATATTAAAAGAAACAAAATAGAGTAATTATTAGGACATTTATTCAGGTACGCATACCGTAAAACAAAAACTTCCAAAATTTAAACAAAATGTTATTTTTAGTAGATTCAAGAAAACAGCAGTTTTAAGTATATTTTAAGTTATCATAGATAAGTGACAATATCACAATCAAGTTCATAACCTTATACTTTATTTATAAAATTTACGGATATGTTGATGCAAAAAGATATAACGGACGACATAAATCTTTTATGATATGCGTAAATTAGTTCAATAAATAATTAGGAATTAACGTTTAAATCAGACTTATTTTGAACCCGGGTACCATCACCCGTTCTCTGAGCTCTGCCCTCTATTACATATTTTGACGCAGTCTTTAGATCGTATGCCCATCCAATCTTAGCAAATAATTCGATAAACCAAGTTGTCGGATTGAAAAACAAAGTCCCCAATTCTGCAGACCTATAGTCCCAGGGGAATGCATGATGAAAGTTATGGAATCCTTCCCCCAAGATGATATAATTAAGTGATCTATTATCAGTGGGTAGTATGCGCTTGTCATATGGCCTTGTTCCTGCGAAATGTGCATAACTATTACCTAGAAGTGTTTGGTGGAGAGATGCAACGTATCTGAGAAGACTAAGATGCCACGCCACGTTTAGCCCCTCGTTCCAGAAGTACATAGGTATCAAAGTTGGTATTATAAAACATATACTACCAATAAAGGGTACTGCCCACCTGAAAGTAATATTTGTCTAAGTTCTATATTCTTTTTTGTTTTAATTATACAATTATTCTGTGACAAGCAATAGCAAATATATCAAGTTTAGTCAAACCAAACATACAGTGGCAGATTTACCAGCAGGCTGAGTAGTCTGGAGGCTAGGGCGACAAATTTTGGGAGCGATTGTATTGAATTTTTTCACTTTTTCATGGATCATAACTCATAATTTGTTCGCAGGTCAATAATTATTTCAAAAAAATTGTCTTACTACGAATATTTGCATTAATCAGCCACAATATTCGCTTTTCCGCAGATTTGAACTTCAACGAATTGTAATGGTCAAAGTCAGTAAGTAAAATGTCTGCCATTTTTTGTTTTCAGGGGGTTCTAATAAATCAAATTCCTAATTACGGCTACGAGCAAATTAATTAGTAAAGCTATTTTTTTACAGATTTAAACCCCTACAATTTAAAAACGCAGCAACCTTAATTCAGCAAGAAAGTTTTGTCGTATTGATCTGAACTTTAATTCATATACTAAAATGCTGCCAGCTCCCTAGCTATTATATTTTTTAAGTAAAACAGAACTTATGTCTGATATCTTACTTCTTTTAAAACCTCAAAACTGGATTTGCGTTGACATCTCTCATGTCAGTAAACATTCCGCGTCTTTTTACTTCCGGATGCCTCTTGACGAGCAACCAGCCTAGGTGTGAAAAGAAAATACCTCTAGCCGCATTGTGTGGATCTGCATCTGTATCGGTATACCTGCCAAAAGATCACTTGATAATACTTAGGGTAAAATTCAGCCTTAGCTGAAAGTATTAAACGTTTTTGACGGACGTTTGCTTTCTCGGCACTTGAATATTTTAGAAATAAGTTTAAAAAACATTGTTTGTCAGCAAAAAAAATGTGTGATCTTACTTCCTGTCTGTTATTTATTTATGTCTACTAAAATATAATTTACCTGTGATGTAATCGGTGATCTCTGACCCAATTTAAAGCACTATACTGGAATGTTAAAGAAGTGCAAACGATCAGTATAATTTGCAAGGGAAGTTTCGCCTTAAATGCATTGTAAGACCAGAGGCGATGAAGTCCAGCAGATATACCGAAGCTTGAGATAAAAAATATAACGCAATCTGTAAAAATACCTACATATATTTACTAGGTACTATTGTTACTGCAACAGTGTAAAATACTAAGTAATATTAGTTCTATAAACACAAACCAGGTAGGTTGCTCGCCACTCTCACCATTTTGTGATTATCAAATATAAAATGCTTTAAAAAAAAGGGATTGACAACAAACAAATTTTTTTTTTATAGAAAAGAGCAGTCATCGCAGCCCATGGACACCCATTTTTAGTGCGTTGCCGATCTTTGAGGGAGGAGTACACTTTTACTTTAAACAGCTGTTGGAGGTCATATCTTACAGGGAAGATAATTCAATTTTTTTTAATTCGCAAAAGAAAGTGTCTCGTGAAGCGGACTGTGAAAGACTGATAAAGTTTTGAGTTGATACGGCTCGAACGATGTTGAAACGAGGCAGAAGGGATAAACCCTCTTCAGAACTCTCACCATAGTCCACTTTATAGAAAACGCATAGGGACGCAATGTATTTGAGTAGAAAGAGAGAATCAAGCCGAGCAATAATACGTTGGAGATTGATAATTTGACAAGCCCGCGGCTGAATCAAAAGTAAGACGCTGGTATTTGGGAGCCGGCCCAGAGATTTTAGCAGTATTCCATATGAGGTCGTACTTGAGCCTTGTAGATACGATACTACACGTTACGTTGTACTGTTACGTTGTACCTCAGTGAAATATTGACATTCTTTATACAGCCTCAGAAAAATTTAAAATTAATTTAATCATATAGATAACACAATGTACACTTATGATCGTCAAGAAAAGAAATTTATATGAAATGCTTCTAACTTTACATTTAGTGCCAATTCTCAAATCAAGGGCGTAGAACGGAAGAGAAGAACTGGCGATAAACTCTCCACCACTCTTTTTAATCGCCATGTTTTTTTACACAACGTTTGTAAGGAGCTGCAACCATTACACCATGTTCCACAAGACATCTTAAGTAATTAATAATAATAACAAATTAAAAACAAAGACTTGTCCTCTATCAGCAGGAGGCATGGTGAAATAGGAGCACGCACTTACATTTTCGTGGGATAAACACGCAAACACATAGTCGTAATAACTAATATCACCGTATACACGAATTCAAGTACGACCAGTCACCACAAGTAGCACCCGATCACGAGTATGACGCATGGCCCCCTCGCCATATTTTAGGGAGAGAGACAACCCGACGCATGGACGCCGCCACAAGCAATGACATTTAAGCGAGCATGACGATCCTTGAAATGTGAGCTTGGCTACATAAGAAGATAATAATACTACTTATACTGAAATAATTTGATACCACATGGATCACGGTTTGTTCCCACTTTACAAGGTGGGATTAGGAGACATGACAAAATTTTCCTTGGCAGAAAACAAACAAGCCTGCGTCTTTGTAGGGTTAAACTTCACAAGGTTGTTTTCTTCGCGATTTTAACAAATTGAACACAGCTTATCCGGAGCTGAATATATTCGGTTGTGGGCTGATCGGTTTTAGAGAATGCATTGTGGGGTGCCTTTCTCGAACCTAATTTCGCTGTTTTGCTGATGATGTTTTCTTTTTTTTTCTGCTTAGTGCCAACAAATTTCTGTAATTTTATTTTATTTTAAGGTGTGCTTGTATTATCGTATATGTTTTAATTGTATTTTTTTAATTTCTATTTATTTTTTTTTGTTGAGAAACTTATGCTTACATTCATTGTAAGATTTTGTAAAATAATTAGTAATTTTAGGACTGTGTATGATGTCGTAAGCTTAATAACTAAATAAAATAAAATAAATACCCCACACAGAAACACAACATTGAAAAAGTTTGTTACGGTTCTCATCGACTTCAGATCGAGACATGCTCGGATGTTCAACAGGGCTTTGATATGCAGAACGAACAGTGGTGGCGAGATAACACAACCTTGCGGAACGCCTGCATTGATGGGTCTCGGATTGGAGCACGCTCCGTCAACTAAGATTTTAATGTACGTAGCATTAAGCAAGAAAATTAGCCAGCCATCGGCATAAACCATTGGGCGTTTTTTAACGCTCTTTGTGTAGCAACTATGAAATATAATAATACGTACGAAAAATAATCGTAGACCATACTGGACCAGCAGTCAAAGCGAGGTAGAGTCCATACAAAGCCGCAAGGTGAAAATATACAATAGTTGCTAAACTTTCATATATTATCTCATATTTCCACGGCCCGGCCTGTGGACTCACCAATTTTTCCAATTTTGATTCTTCCGCATCCAAAAGATCTACATCGATGACCTCTTTGCTAGTATTGGGTGCCATAATTCTAAAACAAAGATTTGAAAATCATATCAAAGCTAGTAAACAAAAGTCGTAAAATATTTTTATAAACAGAAACCTAAAAAATATTATATATAATATTCCTTAATATTTTCTAATAGTAATATAAAAGCATTTCATTGCAACAGTTTTGTTTAAATAAAACTTTATTATCAATAAAATTTTATTTAAATCGTTTAATAAAACAAAAAGTGCAGTACCTCAATGAAGTCCACTCATTAGAATAAGTCTCCTATAACTACAAGTTTTTTCGTATAAATACACGTAATGTTTGTTTATTTCGTTATATGTGTTTGTACACCTGATAAAAATAAACACTTCTACCAAGAAAAAGATAAACTAGGTAATCCCGGGACTTCGCCCTATGAAATCCGTAATCTTAGCGAGTCACACTAGAAAAAAAGACAATTTCAACTCCGTAGAGGATCAGCAAACTGATAACTCAGTAGGGCCAATTTAATAGATTACATTTGTTGATATCTAAGCCGAATAAGCTTGTTTCATTTAAATGTTCAAGACCCAGTGACATATTGTCAGATGAGTGCAATTGCTTCGAGCAAAAAACGAAGAGATCAAAATTGTTGACTTCTTATTTCAAAAAACTTCGGCTGAGTTTGGTCGCCATTTCAATTTAGACACCCTATGCAGACTACCCTGACTGGGTTATAAGCTGTCCAAATTGTTACTTAGATTCAAAAATGAATGTAAAAATTCAAAGTAAACATAAAACAATATTCAATAGACATACACTTCGTACCATTTATCATTCGTATTAATTATTATTCGTAGCTACCTGCGTATTTTACAGTCAACAAAGTTTTAGAAATCACGTGCTAATTAAACAATATTTATTGATTTCCATGATCGCGTCTGTGTAAATTGAAGGAAACAAATTTGAATAAGAATAATAATGTTATCATCAGATTCATATTCTAAATCTTTCCAGAATGGACATTTCTCATGTTGATCTATTCATATTTTAAATTCTTCCCAATACTTAGTCGAAACCAAAATCTTTCCCAATCTTAATGGAAGTTTCAAACGTGAACGCATATATCGTAATTCAATCGTATGCCTTTTGATGTGAAACATCTATAGCCGCACGTAAAACCGATTTCTAGCGTGGCGACGCATGCCGTGGCGACGCGTCGCCTATATACGCTATATGATTGTATATATATAAAGTCTATATGCAGTAGTGTGTACGGTGTGTGTATTTCGAAGTCACTGATTAAACGAATTAAGTATTCACCCTTTGAAATACATTCGTAAATTTTTGTATTTAATGAAAATAAATGTTTATTCAATAAATTTATTAATTTATTTTCTCATTATGACATATTTAGTTCTATCACAATCTGTTATTTTCTACATATTACTTTTACAAAATAATGTCGATGTTTCACATCTGCCAGGCGTCCCGTGACGGCTCACATTTTTTAATCTAGGATTTATCAACTTATATTTCTAAATCTTATTAGACTAAATTAATCTATTTGCAATAAATAATTCTTGTGTGGACACGTTAGCGGTTAGCCCCATCTCACCTCCCTCGAACAAGCACAAACGCTGGCGCGGCAAATATTCCTCCAACTTTGATTTTGTTGTCTTTCAAGAAAAGACAAGAGTCTTTTTCTCGGCCACGGTCTAGGTTCAAGTGCACAGGCGATATATATGAATATTTTAGTTGTAATAAATAATTCCATTTTTAATTTAATTGTATCGAGCGCTATGGTTAAGCAGATTATGTAATTAAAAATTAATAACACGTCATGTCACATGAGAATTTAAAAAAAAGTAAAACACGCTGCTGCAACATACGAGGGATGTTATTAATAGTAGGGATGCGTCCGATACCGATGCCGATACCGATATATCGGCGATACTTGGGGTTTGCCTATATATCGGCATCGGTGATATTTTAATTACCGATTCAACGATACTTTTCAAATTTCACGCTTTAAAAAAGTAATATAAACGTCCATCTTGTATAATCTTGATTAATAGATTAAAATTTTTCTGCAGTCTTCTCTAGCTTTTCTCTTCTTTTTTTCTCAATCTTTGCCAGCTCATAGTTATTAGATTGTATTGCTTGCGGGAGATCATTGAGACTTGATTGAACGTAGATTTGAAGATCATCTAACGCTATCGCGAGTAGTATTTTTTCAATACCAAATTAAATAAAATACACAATTATAAAAATATTATGATTGTTCATTTTAATTATTAACTGTTATTTATTTTATTTTAATTTAATTATTACTCTTAATTCTCAATTTTAGTAACTAAACCTTTAATATTATTCAAAGTTTGTGACTATATACATATATATATTTTAATAAAAAAACTTTAGAGGTGTCAAGGGACACCCGGATGGAACGAAATTCCTTTCGATTAATTTATATGTTAATTGGTATCATAACAGTATGATATATTTTCTCGACACCAATCTTACGACGAAAAAAAAAGCCAACATCACGAGGTGTTCCCAGGCGGTCACCCATCCAAGTACTGACCTCGCCCGACGTTGCTTAACTTCGGTGATCGGACGAGAACCGGTGTATTCAACGTGGTATGGACGTTGGCGATAGCTAAATCAAAAATGTAAAATATAACAACTATAGCAAAAAGTGTCGTTACAACTTTTGGTCTTAATTTATTCCGTCTAGCCCCCTTTCGCAACGCTCGATAACTTCGTTCCAACAAGACCAATGTAGTTAAGTGATTCCAAAAATAATTTTCATTTCTTATCCCTACAAAAAAAAGCCAACATCACGAGGTGTTCTCAGGCGGTCACCCATCCAAGTACTGACCTCACCCGACGTTGCTTAACTTCGGTGATCGGCCGAGAACCGGTGTATTACAATAGCAAATAGCAAAAAAGTGTCGTGACAACTTTTCGTAAGAATTTTTTCCGTCTAGCCCCCCTTTCACAACGCGCGATAAGGAACTTCGTTCCAAAATTTTAAACTTTAATTAACTTGATATATTTTTCCTTAATTTAATTTTAATTTAATAAGCGTTGGTATCGGTATCGGTATCGACGATATTTCTATATGAGTATCGGCATCGGTATCGTGTCGGCAAAAAAGCGTATCGATGCATCCCTAATTAATAGCATCAAAGTTCATCTACCTAAAACTATAGCATATTCGGAATGGGTGGGATTGAAATAAAATTAAATGCTTTGGTCATTTAATTTTTTTAAACAAAGTTCTAAGTAAAGTTTGTCAGTGAGCGCAAGAGTAGTACAAAAGAAGATGATTTTTATTTATTTATTTTGTAACACCTGTAGTTGTTTAGGTTGTAGCAAAAATAATAAATTATATTTTACTAAGGGATTGTGTATTGTTATTTAAACTTCTTCGAACTGTTTGATTAAAAATTGATGTCGTCAACTTTTTTTTTTATAGAACAAACAGGCTCACTTGTGTTGAGTGATTTCGCCGCCCTCAATGCCAGATCATCATGTTATGATGGACCAATATTTAATCAGTGAGTCACTAGCGCCTTTGTTATTCTGAAATTTATTTATTTATTATAATTTACCTAAAAGTTTACCTACATAGTCATTAGCAGTTGAGTGCTATGTTGTATGTATATGGTGAGAGGGTATACTACCATAATGTATAAACCTGTAGGATCCAAGGAGGGCAAAAGCAAAACAAAATAAAAGAAGGTGAATAAATGCTCTTTTTACTATAATACTAAGTACATTACATATGCAAATATGTTTACTGTATAGGTATAAATCAAATGAAATGCTAATTTATTTAATAAAATCAAAACTTTAAAATTATGTTTGGTCTATGGTAACAAAATAGATTAAACAGGCTACTTTTATAGTAGTTTATGCAACTGTATTTTAATACCTAAGGGGGGGGTTTTTTTTTTTTTTTTTTGTGGGGAGGGGGGGGGGGGGTTATAAGTTTTTTTGGGGGGGGGGGGGGGGGGGGAAAAAAAAAGGGGGGGGGGGGGGGGGGGGGGGGGAAAAAAAAAAAAAAAAAAAAAAAAAAGGGATTATATAAATATTAAAATTGGGGGGGGGGGGGGGGGGGGGGGGGGGGGGGGGGGGGGGGGGGGGGGGGGGGGGGGGGGGGGGGGGGGGGGGGGGGGGGGGGGGGGGGGGGGGGGGGGGGGGGGGGGGGGGGGGGGGGGGGGGGGGGGGGGGGGGTTTTTGGGGGGGGGGGGGGGGGGGGGGGGGGGGGGGAATTTGTTGGGGGGGGGGGGGGGGGGAAACACACGGGTTTTATTGGGGGGGGGGGGGGCCGCCCGCCCCCCGGGGGGGCCCGTTTTTTAGGCCCGGGGGGGTTTTTTGGGGGGTGTTGGGGGTGTGGTTGTTTTGGGGGGGGGGGGGGTTGGGGGGGGGGGGGGGGGGGGGGGGGGGGGGGGGGGGGGGGGGGGGGGGGGGGGGGTTGTTGTGTTTTTTTTTTTTTTTTTGGGGGGGGGATAAAGAAAAAATTTTGGGGGGAGGGGGGGGGGTGAGGGGGGGGGGGGGGGGGGGGGGGGGGGGGGGGGGGGGGGGGGGGGGGGGGGGGGGGGGGGGGGGGGGGGGGGGCGCCGTTTTTGGGGGGGGGGGGGGGGGGGGGGGGGCCCGGGGGGGGGGGGGCCGGGGCGGGGCCGGCGGGGCCCCGCCCCCCCCCCCCCCCCCCCCCCCCCGCGGGGCGGCGGGGGGGCGGGGCGGGGGGGGGGGGGGGGGGGGGGGGGCGGGGCCCCGCCCGGGGCCGGGGGGGCCCGAAGGGGGGGGGGGGGGGGGGGGGGGGGGGGGGGGGGGGGGGGTTTGGGGGGAGGGAAGTGGGGATTAAGGGGTTTTTTTTTAAAAGGGTTTTTTAAAAGAAAATTTTTTTTTATTTAATTTTTTATATAATAAAAAAATTTTAATAAAAATAAAAAAAAAAAAAAAGGGAAATTGCCTTTTAGGTTTTTTTTAAAAAAAAAAAGGGAAAAAAAAAAAAAAAAAAAAATTAAAATTTTTTTTTTTTTTTTTTTTTTTTTAAAAAAAAAAAAAAAAAAAAAAAAAAAAAATTTTTTTTTTTTGGGTGGGGGGTGGGGGGGGGGAAAAAAAAAATTTTATTTTTAAAAAAAAAAAAAAAAAAAAAAAAGGGTTTTTTACGACCAAAAAAATTTTTTTTTTGGAGGGTTTTTTTTTTTTTTTTTTTTAGAAAAAAAAAAAAAAAATTATATTTATATAAAAAAAAAAAAAAGGTTTTTTAAATAGGGAAAGAGAAAAAATATTTATATTTATATATTTTTTTTTTTTTTTTTTAAGGGGGGGGAAAATTATATTATTAGGCGGGACGAAGTTCACCGAGTTAGAATTACATTTGACTGTAGTGGAAATGTAGTCCTAGGAGGATGTAATGCGTCAAAATAAACTTTGGAATTATTTACTTAAAAATTATTTAATTTAAAAATTCTGAAAAATTCATGCGCCGTGTTTTGTCAATTTTATTATTATTATCTACAAAGTATACTTACAGTTATAAATTAATATGTTATGTCAAAATATAGGGTCATTAAACCTAACCATATTTATACAACTTTGAAGCATGATAAATTTAGGAATACTGAGGACAATTTAAAAATTACGTACCATGTTTACTTCCATTTGATTTGGTGCCGTTTAAGTATTACGTACCACGGTGATGATTACGTCAACAGTACCTAATTATTTACTTTTTTTACACATTTACTAACCACACATTGTCTATGTTTGCAAACGAAATTTTCGAGGTTTCTTACATAAAATTAATACGTTTATGTACTATTATTATTGAAAGCTTCGCTTAGGTACTTTTGCTGACATTTGGGGGTTTTTAAACTGCAGTAATTCTGCTTACATAATACTTGAAAGGCCCCTTTGATCCTAAAAGCCTCTGTTGTTTTCGTAACAATAAAGGGAAAAGAACAGTTTTTGGGTCAGAATGATTATTAATAAATTATTAAACGTTGATATCTTTCCATTATTTTAAGGTCAATGATCTGATACAAATGCCTATGAACCGGAAAATGGTCCCAATTTTAATCTGAGCACAATATTCTGGTGTATAAAAAGGCCGGCAACGCAGCCGCCATCTGCCAATGTGTGGGCTGAATTATCATGAGGCGTCGCGCTAGATGTCAACTCTGAATCCCTATCAGCCTTTGTTCCCAATCTATAAAAATATTTTTATAACCACGACCTTTAAAATTATTTTATATTGAATTGACTTTGTTTTTTCACGCTTTATATTAGCTTCATCTGTATGTATGTATGTATGTATGTAACCGACTGCTTCGGACTCCATTTTGACCCACTTTTAACGGACAGATTTAATTCAAACTTTGCGCACCTGTCAATGATCGATGACAATGCAATAATCCGAAAAAAAAATATTTAACTAAAAAATAAAATAAATATATGTAGTTAAAAAAAAACTAAAAAACACGCTTTTAAAGCACATCAAACTAAAAAGTGAAAAATAATTCCTAATTTAGGCTGAAAATGGTAATGAACAAAAAATACTGGTATTATTGTGAAAAAGCGTGGGTTGCTCGATAGTATGGCACAGAGCGCTTTTATGCTTTAAAAGCGTGTTTTTTTAAACCATTATTTATTTTTCTTAACGACTGTGTTAGCGTTTTACTTAGTATATTTCATTTCGTCCTACTTAATTACAAATTATACACAATAACAAATATATACAGATTACAACATGCTTTTGTATCCCACATGTAAGAATAATCAACCATTTATGGCTCAAACTACTGTCGAGCCAGTACCCGAGTGTGGAGTTTATAATAAATGCTACAATTCGTTCCTTACTGGACACAAACAGGAACCAGGAAATCATTAATGTTTTATTATGCATAGAAGGTATGCACTAATAATAATAGAAGCACCTGTTAACTAATTCTAATAAAACGATTGCATGTTAAATTACCGTTAAGGGCTACATCATTGCCGACTATATCGTAAAATGTATATCTCGGCAATATTTCTGCAACAGTGTATGGCTCATTATTTTGTCTCTACACGGTCTACATACATGGCTTGGCTAGTACCTATGGCTGTAGTGCAATGGCGGACAAAATCATACTCGTTGCAGCAGCGTATATTGTTTTAAAAGCAACGTCAGAGCTCACGACGGCCAGTCCTTCGTTATTTTATAAAAGCTAAAGTTTTTCTGTGCATGTCCCCTATACTGGTAAGAACGACCAGTCACCAGGGTCTATAGGGTTTGGGTTGTGGTTACTTTGGCAGGTAACATGTAGTAAAGATGTATAAAATATAACAATAAATTCGTTAAAAAAATTTATACTTCCAATTCCATTTTTTTTTATTAGGGATAACTCTAAAAATCTCGTCATCCATTGCCGGACACTTATGACAGTTGCGACCCCCTGCCAGACACCCCTATAATTATACTTTAGTTTTAGCATTGCCGAGCAAAAGCAATAGCCGAGAGTTGCTGTAAATGCTGTCTGATGCTACCAGCCACACCCTTTCAGATATACATTTTCATGAAAAATGGCTCGTATGGGTGCCCCTTGCCCTTCCCTGGTTTCAAGTTTGTCCCTAACCGTTATTCAGTACGCAGATAGAGTCCCGACTTACTGTTATGGCTGATGCGAAAATTACGCCCTTACACACAGTCCTTCCATAAGATGGCCGACAGCTATCGAGCTATTAGTCAACAGGATTGACCAACAAATCGCCAGGATTACCGGACGTCCGATCGAAGTTCCATTGATTCAGAGAGTACAAGATACTTTAGAAGCTGTCCAGGAACCATTGAGTGAAGACGATTCAGAAACATTTTTTTTTCGCCCATGGCGCAGGCTATAGTCTTTCGACCATACCGCCTAGTCTTTCGGATTCAGAAACATCAACACAGGCAGAGACAACACAAACTCTACCACAAATTACGGAGCCAGAAAGTATAGAAAGAGACGAGTTGCAGAGAACAGATACTAGTCAAGTGTTAATTCCGCCTACGATAAATACCCCAAGACGACATAGTTTTACGAATAAATAAAAAGAAGCTAAAAGCAGCTTTAATATGATTTAGTGATGAAATTCAAAGAGAGCTGGAAATATTGTTTTTGTGAAATATTATTAGAAGGAGCAGTATTGAGAAATTTAATTATTATTAATACTTAAATAAAATATTAATTTTATACAAAAAAATAAACATATTTTTACAATTTAGGTATTTATTTTCTGTCTTTGCCAAGTTTATTGAATGTTCATATGATGCTTTTTTTATCTATTTTTATAGAAAAATCATGATAACTTTTCAACTCTAAGCCTTAATAGAAGATTAAAACACAAAATTTTTCGAACAAAATATATTTTCCTTAACTATTTTTTCCCTTTCTTCTTCTTGCTCTTTGTTTCTTGTTTCTTCTTAGATGTAATATCTATAACCACTTGTGGCTGTTCCACAATTTGCACGTCATCTTTCTTCTGTCTCTTTTTCGTCCTCGTGATATCCACGATCTCAATTTCTGGTTGGTCAACGGCCTCCACTTCCATTTCTTCATAGCTGAATCCTGGTATGACAGGTTTTACGAGTTGGAACACCAGTTTTCGGTGCTGTAAGTTTGTGCTGTCTAAACTGAGTCTTACAACAATTTCATCAAACGTTCTTAGGACTACACCGTTGCATATTTGCACGTGTTCCTGAAAGACGAAATTTTAATATAACATACTAAGTCTATAAAATGACATTGGGAGAAATAAAAAAATTAAATAACTCACAAAATAAATGTCGAAATATTTTTAAAAACGTATTTATAAACTCATAATCTACTGCACGGATTTTCATGTGAATATAACGATGTTTGTTGGAAGTGTTAGAATAAGGACAGCCTAGGACAGATCCGCGCGGGCTTAGGCTAGTAAAAGCTACAAATAAAATCTATTCTTAAAGAAAACTTTTAATTTTCATTTCGACTTAGTCTAAAGCAGCCAAAAAACCATATAATCAAATATGAATTTCGATAGTAGCCTAGTCAATTTTTAAAGCCGAACATCTCATTAAAAATCAAGAGTATATTCACCTCTTCGTTGTAGATAAATTTATCTGAGGGTAGATACAATGGTCCTTCGAGGCCGTACTTGGGTATTAACACTTGGAGCGCGTTCCGTTTAACGGCCAGCACTACGGCCGACTCGACTTCTACGCGATCCTTGAATAAGATCTAAAAATATACAAAAATATTAATAAAATAAACAAAATTTGATATACATCGTTTAAAACATGAGCTTATAACTAACATAAAATTAGGGGTAGTGGGGTTGCGACACTGACAAAATACTAACTTTGCTCATTTTGGCTTCAAGTGTACGACGATTGCTAACATTTGGTTTTTTTTTTTTATATGATTGGACAATTCACACCAATTGACCTAGTCCCATGCTAAGCTAGTGAAGCTTGTGTTATGGGTACTAGGCAACGGATATACATACATATTATAGATAGATAGACATATAAATACATATTTAAACACCCAAGACCTAAGCACAACACCAAATGCTCATCACATCGATGTTTGTCTCAGCCGGGGATCGAACCCGGGACCCATGGATTCGCAGTGAGGGGTACTAACCACTAGACCAATGAGCCGTCGAGTTATTGTTCGGTTTATTGTTCTAAATATATGCTAAAATATATATGTTAGGTTACATACTTGAGTCTAAATATTTAGATTAAAATTGGGATTAAAAACTTATAATAAATGGGACAATGTGGATTTAAATTGTAAAGCTAAAGATGACCCGTATAAAAAGTAAATAAAGATCGTAACTAGCTGTACCTCTTTCTAAAAATGTTAATGTCGAAGTTTAATCCTAGACGTTTCTTAAATCACCCCTCAAAGTGAATAGTAAACTAGTTTAGATTAATTATAACTAAAACAGTAAAGTGTTTTTTTTGCCTCTAACGTCATATAGACTCATTAATTACGTAATTTTGAGTGTACCAAAAATCTATCTATAGCAAAACTCATACATATTTTTTATTTGCTTTAACATATTGCAACTTGCGGCCTTAAATCTCCGAAGATAATATATTTAGTAAAAATACTTACATGGGTATTGAGAGCGACGGACGCTCTTCCTGCGTACTGAGCTTGTCTATGACGATAATTAAGATTCTCGCATAACGATACGGCATATTTCGTGTCTAATATACTGGCGTGTGTCGCATCTGCGCCTATGCACGATGCGAGCAGTCTATGGACTACCACATCGGCGTATCTGTAAAATTTTAAATACATATTTTTACTCTTTAGTTTACAAGGAAATTAATTACTGTGGCACCAAGGTCCCCACTGGATTTTGGTACTGTTTTATGTATTTTTAAGCAATAATGAAAAAATATATGACGGCGCATTCCTAGCGCCATCTGTTAAGAAATATTGGAACGAGATTTGACAATTGTCAGTCTGGCGGAGCGTCGTGTCGATGGTCAGCGCGGCCATGTTGAATTTCGTTTAGTTTTCGAATGTCAACGGCGAGCGCACCACGTTTGCGACGAATCGCTTTTGTTCCGAGTAATCTTGTGGCTTGTTGTTTTAAAACTAATTAAAAGTGATTTATTAAGTGATTCCCTAATTACTAGTGAATAGATTTTAGTGAATTGCTGTAAGGGAGATACTTTATGTGATTTAATAACTTTTTATTGAGACTTTGGTGATTCTTTTGTTCCTACCCACATTACAACTTAATGAAGACATGGCCGATTCTGATGATTAAGGGCATCCGCCCAGATATAAAAACTTCAAATTTACTAACGACCTTGTTGTATTTAAAAATAAAATTATATAGCTAAAATAAAGTAACGATTTTTTTGTTGTTGTTATTGCCATATCTGTGGCATCGCAACTGATGACGGGTCCAACCGTTTAGGAACGGTTGCACCCGTCATGATGAGTCTTTTGTATGTTGACGTCGATCTAACTTAAAATAATTAATTTTAAATTATTTTAGTTCGTATACGTAAAATGCGTACTCACCTACGTATAGGTGACGTAAAGTGCGTATAAATCGGACACGCAAGCCCGTAATGGTAGTAGTCCTCCTGCGCAAGAGTTCCACTCGAAAAGTAGACAGCTTGTTGCATACAACGCGTCGCCATTATTCGTAACAACGTATTGAAAAATGGTCTCGATGGGAGAACGGCTTCGTTAAGTGACTTCGAAAATGCTTTATTGGTTGATACGTCAAGTTCGAAACCCTAAAATCAATCAATAAATAAAATAAATACATATCTAATTTCTAGATTATATAATTAATAATTCATGAAAAAAATCTATTACGTATTACGTAAGTACTGAAGCAAAAAATAACAACAAAAAGGTAATGGAGCATTTCCCAAAGCGGACAGCGAAAAAATAGAATTTGTTTAAATAATGGTTTTTTTTACTTTAAAAATTGGATTTTTTAAATATTTGCAACTTTTTCTAATCTTTGTTTTATCTTTTTCCTCCAAAACCGGAAGAAAAATTTCATATGAGTATGTATATCAAAAAGTTCGACCAATTTTGTTTTATTCCAAAAATGGCTTAAAGTATACTAGAAGTTTCATAGTGGGATGGACTGTCCGCTTGACTTGAAATGCCCCAAATATTACTTTTTTGAATAAAAAAAATATTTTGAAACATCTCGTCTTGAAAGTGATAAAAATATTAATATAACCTGTTGAGCGGCGGCCTTTAGGAAAGTGTTAAAGTTGGCTGGCGGTGGAGCGGGATGTCTCCTTAACAACGCACTCTGCGGAAATTCACCCGCAATGTGTTCAGCCACGCTCACGTTGGCCAGCAACATGAACTCTTCAACCATGGAATTTGTATCCAGTATACGTTTAGCTTGGACTTCCATTGGCTCGTGGGTTTCAGAATCCACCTGTTAAGCGAGAATAATGTAAAAAGTAGCATTTAAAAAATTCAGGATGGATTTTAAGAAATTTAAATTTGCTGGATTATTAACTAATAATAATATACGATGAAACTTTGCAAGCAAATCACTATTTTTATTTAAAAAAAAAACTAATTTTCAACTTCAGTGTGTTTTTATAGGTAAACTAGTAGGTAGTTTACTTTTTAGATATTAGTCTAATTTTTAATTTTTACTTGTAATTTCTTTATTTTTGCCATACTGCATTTGCCTGAATTCGTTGTTAGTAATAAGACCACCCATTGCATTACAAACAATTGAATTTCATTAAGTTACCTGTTTTTATCAAAAATGTAACGAACTTTTAATAAATAAAAATTTATCTAAAAAGTTACTATTTAGTATTAGTGTAAAAGTCATTTTTATATCCATGACACATATACAGTCAAGCATGTACATTGTACATATACTTCCTTACATACTTAAAAAATGTCTGTGCAGTCGACTCTCGATAATATGAAATGAAAATCAAAATAACTAGAGTAAACGAGAATTTGATCAAAATTCGTGATATATTATTATTATGTAGGTACTTATTAACAAGTATTTTTTTATTTTAAAAAGAAGTCTAACACAATTTTGAGTGCGTGACTTCAGTATATCGTTGTTCAAAGAATTTTAAAAAGCAATTGACAGGTCAGTGATGATTAACACTTCAAGGGAAACCTGGACTTCAATTTATCACATATGATCAAGATTCCTTCAACTTCAAATTACCCAGGGGACCAATTAACATTGATTTTATTCAATTTATCGAGTATTTTTCAAGGGACCGTAAAAAAAATCAAAATATCGAGAGGAAATTATCGACTGTATTTTAATTTAGTATTACTCACCTCGAATCGTATTTCAGGCGAAGCCAACAGTAATGCCCCATTATCCAATCGCTTCTGTTTCAATTTCTTAGCGAGCGCGTTCAGCGTACGAAGCGAAGCGGCTACTTCATCCCGCCTCGAACCATCGTCTATCGCTATCTGAGCCTGCTCATAGGTCATTGCAGCACGGGACTGAATAACGTAATTTAATTAAAACAATTTTTTAGTTCAATAAAAATAAATATCTACTATAATAAAAAATAGGGGTTGATTGTAGAGGGGTGAAAATTAAGGGTTACAAAAATTGTCTAAAAAATAAATTTTGGGGTTCACACCCACTCAAAGGTTTGAAAAAAATGTAGCCGATTCTCAGACTTACTGAATATGTATAAAAAATTCATAAGAATCGGTCGAGCGGTTTCGAAGGAGTATGGGAACGAACATTGTGACACGAGAATTTTATATATATAGAGATAATATAAATTAAAAATGATAATTTTAAAGAGAGAATATTAACAAAAATTATACCTTGATAACACTCTTGTGAAACTTCGTATTAAGCACATTTGCATTTTCATCTATTTCCCAAACACAAGAAAACGCCAGTCGTTCTTCGCCACCGCGAAGTGAGCAAAGGTTTGAACTCAGCAGATCTGAAAAAACCAACGATTACTATTCGATATACAAATGTGATGATGAAGAGTTTCTTTAAAGTATGAGGTTTATTATGAAGCGTAAATTACTTCAATATATTTAATTCCACATAACGTCGCTGTAGAATGTCCAGAGAACCAAACATTACAGGAAACGAAAAATGTTTAATTTCGTCAATGTTCGTTAAAATATTATTATGTGTTTTTGTGGTTTTTGTCCATAGTTTTGTATGGTAAAAAGGACTTATTTATTAATAACATAAATAATTCCTTACTTCATGATTATACCAGTTAAATGACATAAGAGTCTAATAATGAAAAATAAATGGTTTTTTGACATACGAGGTTATCATTCTACAGTGACGATAGCATAAATTTCTTTAAAAAAATTGACTCCAGAATGCACTTTATTAGTAGTATTAGATAACAATATTTCTTATTTGTATTGATGTTGTTAGCAGAGCAGTGTTAGCCCAGTGGCTTCAGCGTGCGACTCTCATCCCTGAGGTCGTATGTTCGATCCCCGGCTGTGCACGAATGGAATTTCTATGTGCGTATTTAACAGTGAAGGAAAACATCGTGAAATAACCGGTACGCCTTAGTCAAAAACCGACGGCGTGTCAGGCACAGGAGGCTGAACACCCACTTGACTTTTAGATTGACAAATTATCAAACAGAACCCAAAATCTGAGGCCCAGACCTAAACTTGTAGCGCCACAAATTTATTTTATTTTTTATTGATCTAATAAGATCAGAAAACGTAAGATGAGCATACGTTTTAATAAAAAAACAGAATTAAATGTACATTTAATAATATTTTATTTATATGAAGATTCTATATGTTTTATTTTACAAAGTCAGTGTCATCATCACATAATAAGTCGGTTTAAAATAATATTACATAGTGATAGAAGCTAAATAAGTCTATATAAAGCGATCTCTTAGACAAACTTTATACCCTTGTAAATGTCAATCTAATTAAATATTAAAGACCGGCAACGCACTTCCGTGTCTATGGGCGGCGGTGTCACTTAACATTAATATAAAAAAAGATGACTGAATTGTAAGTATCAAAATTTTAAAACATTTATAAAATATGATGTGTGCGCGATGTGATAAACTCACCCGGTACCATATCAATCCTCTTCCCCACCAGATACACAGTGGTAGACCTGGAAGCAGCTTCCTTATCCAACGCCGTGTTCGGTCTCACGAAGTGCGTCACATCCGCGATGTGGACTCCAACCTCGTACTTCTTCAGACCATTTGTGGTCCCGGGGATCGGACGCGCGTGCAACGCATCATCAATATCTGTACATCCTGGTGGATCCACTGAGCATACGCAGATGGATCTGAGATCTACGCGTTTTTTTATCTCCTACAATATAAAGTGGGGATTTACGATTCTGTGGTGACAACTGTCGTACTATTCGTTTGTGAGATATAGTATTTTGAAACTAATAGATAAAAAGGAATTTTGTGTGATTTTTTAAACATTAAAACTAAAAGATAAAAATGTGTAAGATTTGGGAACCCTTTTAAGTAAAAAATACCTACAAACTTAATAGTAAATGCCATTAAAAATTTATATTTACATAATTTAATTATATCTTTTTTAAAATTATAATTCTTTTTTTCAACCATGGGGCAACTGGTCTTTTATTTTAATATTTTTAGCTTGTAATTTTGACTTTCAACATTGCTTTTTTAATAGGCCTTAATTGAAAAGTTTGACTTTTGAGAAGTTTATTTAAATATTTTGGTAAATCTCTGTCTTTAACGAAGTACAATTTAGTTTACACTAGTACGACTTCAAAATGGACAGAAACATAAATCTCTAACTGTTAAAAACGTTTATTCTCTAAATGGTAAATAAATAAACTACAAGAAATACCTCTTCTGTAATGGTCCAGTCATCTGGAGGTAGACAAGCCAACACAGCCTCGCTAAACCTTGCATGGGGCACATCATGTTCTAGTAGTATCACTTCATTCTCTGCATCTTTATCACCTGAACATCGACATCAATTAATTGAAAAAATCTCGTAATAAATTAAAAATAATATATATATATTATTTACTTACCAATCGGTCCCAGGGCTCTAACGAAATGTCCTAACGGATAACGGCTATTTCTCGGCCAAGAATCGAGTGCGACTAAAATCCTTTGTGTCGCTAATAGATCACTCTGCCGTGTCTCTATGCGCACGCGCGGTATCCTCTTTTCAGCTGGCGCGAAGAGGTGTCTAGTGGCTCCTTTAAAAACATCAGTAAACTCCATGTTAGATTTCACTTGATTCTATGTAAAACTCTTAAAACGTGAAAATTACTTGTTGTAAATTTGACGTCTCTATACATTTATTTCCATTTTTTTATAGAACATGGGCAAACAAGTAGGAGGCTCATCTGATGTTAAGTGATAGCACCCATGGACACTCAATTCCAGAGGGCTCGTGAATGGGTTACCGGCTACAAACTGAACAAAATCTCTACACAAGAAAATGTGCAGTCGCTTCAGTCTTGCTATTTAGAGATTGCGGTGTGTATAATTTTGGGTTTCTCTTGTAACTATTACAAAATAATAATAGAGCTAAAAATAAGTTCTTAATATCGTCATTATATCATATAATCATTATTAAAAGTGCGAGGTGATTCTTAAATCCTGTGAATATTAATCCAAGCAATCGGGCTTAAATAAATAAACAATTACACAGAACCTTTAAGATCTTTGGAAAATGAATTGCAGGAGTGGTAACAAAAAAATCTGATTAGGAATGTTGGTTTCCATTACATTTGACATTAACAACATACAGATCTGCTAATGAAAGTATAAATAATAAATAAATACCGTGACCTTATACCATATCCAAAAGAATAAACTTTTAAAAAATGTGTCTAAAAATATTTTTATAAATAGTTTAAAAAAATCAGTAGGTTATATTAACATAGCTAAGTTACCGGGAAATTTGCTTTGCATCAAAATCCCACAATATTGCCTCCATTTTCTCCTTATTATTCCCACAACCTTTCCTGTGGGAGATATATCAGCGCTTGCAGCCGACTTGGCAGTGTTAAGAAGAATAGATTCTTCTTCCAATAAGTCTCCGGGATCTTCAGCTTTATCTTCCAGAACAATGTCACTTGGTTTTCTCCATTCCTCTTCTGGGAAAATCTCGATCGCCACTATGTCCCCATCAATAGCTCTGTTGATACCAATGTGGCCTTGAAGTAATATCTGTTAGCATTGAATAATTTTTATTGTTATCTTATAATCTCAATATTTTGTGCTTATATATGGACATGGTTTATAAATTGGACATAGAGTAAATCAATCAACCTTATTTATCATAAAAATGTCTGAGGTAAGTTTTGTGGTTAAAGGTATATAGAAATCTCATATAAGTCTAAAGTTATTTTCACATAAGTTTTAAGATTCATATAAAGGAATAAACCAACAAATATACTATAACTCTAATAATCTCTTGACAAATGTAGAATGTGTAATTAGATACTAATGTTAAACAGAGATAGTTTACATATAATAACTACCTGTTTTTCAAAACCATTAACAGTAGCAGTTCCTTCTAAAAAATTATCCCGTGATGCATAGAAAGTACCCTGGTGTAATTTCCCATTCCTTATGCCAGCATGAATCTGAGAAGGTGTCAAATGAGCCGGGTACAATGCATCTTTGGTAGAATTCTCGGGCATAACATTTTTGGACAATTTGTCAAGTAAACCTGGATATCCACTAACATTCTCAATGTAGTCTTTAACTGAAAAAGACAGGAGCATTTTTATAGTGTATAAGTGACATGCGCCACCAATTACGATAATTCTACTTAATTAAAAAGACTGCCAGCTCTTATTGTCCATTCTACAATATTGGTTTGAGAACCAATCAAAAGACTTTGTTACCCATCAAATATTGTTTTAATTAGAGAAAACTCACCTGAGCAACACACTATGCCATCGTCTTGAGCAAGTTTTCTATTATTCTCATCATCAGTAAGCAAGACTATTTTCGGGAAATCACCAGTAAGACCTTTAATTGACAAGTGCTCTAAATACCACCCAGCAGCTTTACGTATAGCTCTATCATTTCTGTCATTTGGTTTTTCTCCTGGCTTTCTCTCAATATAGGTGTCCCTATAAAAATTCAATAATGTGAATAAAATAAAAAGCTAATTTGACTAAAGCTAAAAATTACAGTCATAAAGAAATCGGCTAATGAATTCGGAATTTTATCTATAGCATAGGCTTTTCTTATCTAATTGCCTACTAGTCTTTTAATCGTTATGACTTGAAAACACTTAAAAATATTAGAAACTACAACTGACTTGTGATGTTCATTTACAAAAGAGTAAAATTTCCGTCTCTTGTTCCCAATAATTTCTAGAAGTCTTTGAAAAATTGCTGTATTCTGATGCTTGACTTCTTCAAGAACAGTTTGCAATATGATGACATTTTTTAAAGCATCGTCTTCTAAAATGTCTATTTGGTGCAGAACAACATTCGTGTCTATCAGAAGGTAGTGATTGTAGTCGAATAAAGCACAAATTGATTCAGGTTTAACGTCCAAAATACATTCATCGTCTTTATGAGGGCATACATTACATGCTGCTGAGCCACACAGTAAATCATCTCTTAGATAATGTTCTCTTACAATCTACAAAAATAATATAAAAGTATTTTTTAAAAATTATACACTTTTTATATCAATCAATAAGTTTTATATCAATCAAGTTATTGTACGTATATTGAAAATAACCTCACTTTTAAAATGTTTCCCCGTTTTGTTTTGGTTAAAAATGTTTTTGTAGTCCACATGGCAGTGAGCTAATATAAAACATGTAAATTATATATATATTTTTTTTTCTTTATTCTATTTCTCTTTCAATATATTAGTATATTACAAGAAAATGCTTTGATTCAATTTTTAAATAAAAAATCGACATTTTTAGACCATTGACTTATATTTTGTATACACAGAATACAGATAAATAAGATAAGTTGGAATAGTCTACACTATATTATATTTTGATGTAATCTGAGGAATACTTCAATAATTATAATTATGATATTTCTATACTAGTTCTGTGTTTATTCTGTAACATTATGAGTCTTTGGTTTTGTTATAGTCTTTTTTTGTTCTTGGCGGGAAATCGAAAAAGCGTGGGGCTTAAAAGTCTCGTTACCAGGCCATAAAATTATTTAAAAAAAAAGAAGAAAAAGCGCGGTTTAATTTTTTTTCAAAATTATATTTTAATTTCTGATGCTGGCGGGCGGCGGCGGAGCTGGTGAGAACAACTTTTACATGCCATATCGCAAGTCTAATTATAAAAGATTATACCCAGAATTTAAATCACATATTATCGAATATTAAAGGTGAGGTGGCAATAAGGCGTATTAGGGCAAATAAAATTGTTGTTATCTTTAAAACACATAACACGGCTATCAACTTTTTACACAATATCAGCTTTCTTAAAAACATAAAATAAGAGCATGTATTCCAGCAGCTCAAATTGAAAAAAAACTGTTACTATTAGATTAGTGCCTGCAAATATTTCTAATAAAGAACTACCTTAATAAGCTGACTAAGTGAAAAAAGTTGGTCAAGAATTAGTAGGAACACAAACTATTAGCATCACATTTCTGGCAAATAATTTACCCGAAAGTGTGCAATATGATTTATTTTTTACAGAGTTTTTGAGTATGTTGATGTTCCTCCCTTCCAACAATGTTTCAAATGTCTAAAATTTAATCATTATTCATAAATTTGTAATGGCAAACAGCGTTGCTCTATTTTAGGGATGTGACATTCTGCATAAAAAATCGATTTTTTAATAATCGATTATTTTTTTAGCATGAAAAATCTATTAATAAATAATCGATGTTTTATAAAAAAACATCAATGCATCGAGTAAATCAATACATCTTCAAAGAGTCGGATTCAATGTATCGCATTGTAAACATCGATGTATATCGAATATCCCTAATAGTTCGAGGTCCGGGTTATAAAAGACCAGACATAATGTCGGGAGGTGGTAGATGAAAAATCGACTATGATTGATTTTCAATTATAAAAATAATCGACTATTAATCGATTATTTTAAATATAAAAATCGCGTATAAAAATCGATTTTTACTTTAAAAAAAATTTTCATCGATTTTTTAAATAATCGATTATTTTTTCACATCCCTACTCTATTTGTTCAGGTGAACATTCCAATAGACTGCAGCAAACCAAATAAGATTTAATGCGTAAATTGCGTTAGACCTCATTTAGCTATAAGTATCTAAATTGTGTCCCATAAAAATGAAGAAAATTCTAGAACAGAAAAAAAAAGTAACACATGTAAGCGTTGCCATCACAAAAGATAATGATGACTTCCATCATCTTCCACCACGCTCCAACCCTGTAAATAAAATAGTGATTAGTGTAAATAATGAATGAAAATTCCTGTAAATGACATTATAATTACCACATATAAACGTTACCGTAACTTTTGCAACAATTTCTTGAAACAACTAAAACGGAACTAAGAAAGCAATGAGCGTAATAGAGCCAAACACAATCTGAAATTATTTTGGAAAACAATTAAGTAATACTGTAAAAAAAATTACTCCAATAATTTGACAATGGTATCAATGAGTTTTTCGTGGACGTTGAGGAGCTGTTCTAACTCCGTTGCTGACTACAGTCCTAAAGTTTAGGAAAATAGGCAAAACAAGAAATGTTGACATTTGTAACAAAACAAAACTTACAGATGTATACTTAAATGGAAATGGGCATGTCATATTTCTAGAGCGCGGGACACTTGAATTAACAAAATGGACTGGACCTACTGGACGACAAAAGAAAAGATGGGCAGATGACATTATAGAACTAGCGGGGAAAACTGGATAAATGCTTAAGACAAAGAGAAATGGTAAAATATGGAGGTTTTTACCCCAAAAGGGGCCATACAAAATCTAGACCACTAAAAGAGAAAAAAAACAAAACTAACTTAAGTTTTTTTAAACTTATACTAACTTTTTTAAACTAATACTAAGAAATTAATATTAATTAATTATTTACATATTAAGAAATGTAAACTAACCAATTGTTGTATGAAATAATTAATAAGGTTTTAATATTTATAATAATAAATAAAATAAATAATAATATATCTCTTTTCACCAAAGTCATATTTCCGCGAAAAGTGGTAATAAATTATTACGTTCCTGACATTCATCAAAATTACCGTCGTAATGTCCGGTTACTGTTACGTCCGTAATTATGTTTCAACATTGAAAGAATAATTATTGTAAAACGCTTATGCCTTTCAGTCTTATTAGTAGATAAATTACTGTAATTTACATTTCGTTATTTTTACCTATTTACACTAAATACATAACAACAATATTTGTCGAATAGGAAAATATTTTATATATTTGTATATGTGTACTTAGTATTCTAGTAATAATAGCATAGTTTTAAGGGTAAAAAACGGTTTATCTCGATTTCCGGCAAAACTAAAAGTCCTATCGAAGAAAGTTAAATGGCAAAGTTGTAGGTAATAAAAAGATCTAAAACTTTTGTATTCACACATTTTTCACATAACCTCAAAATTGGTGTGAAAAATTCAAAAAATCAAGTTTTTGGTTTTTTATTTTTATCTTTTACAAAAATTTATTTTTTTAAACGAAATTTGGTGAAAACTTACCTTATTATGTCCCAAATATACTGACTGACTTTACTTCGGACCATCGTTTGCAACTGTAAAAAACACGAAGTCGGCCCCACATGGAGTAATGTTCTCACCTCTGGGCTGGAGCTCCCCAGTACCAGCTTCTTCCACTGGACCGTGTTCAACGTAGATCGGTTCGAATCATCGACGACAAACCGCTTTTGATCCGTTCATGGTTAATGCTGTAGAAGATGCATGGGCCTTTGCATCTTCTACAGCATTAACCATGGAGAATGTTCAGAGGATTTGTTAGGACCTGCAGCTGAGTATCATCGTTGGACGGCAGAATACGAAATTCCACTCGTAACACCTCGACTTGGAACCAGCTGCTCACTGATGAACTGAATTTCGGAACCAATTCAACTTAGGGTCCCTCAAGAAAAAGAAAAGAACGTACCAATTCTTTAAAAGCATGGGCATGGCATGGGTGGCGGCGGTATCACTAAACAAAAGTGAGCCTGTTTGTTCTATAAAAAAAATATTTTGACGCAATTGATTTTTATTTAAACAATTCGAAGGAGTTTAATTAACAATAATATACAATTCCTTAGTAAAATATCATTCATTATTTTTGATACAACTAGGAAACCTAAAGAACTACAGGTGTTACAAAATAAATTAATTAAAATCATCTTCTTTTGTCCTACACTTGCGCTCTCTGACAACTCTAACTTTACCTTGACACTTACTTTACTTGGAAATTTTGTTTAAAAAGATAAATGACCAAAGCATTTAATTTTATTTCCATATCCCACCCGTTCCAAATATGCTTTAGTTTTAGATAGATGAACTTTGATGCAATCTATAGCATAGGTACGGTGTCTGTGAAGTTAGCAGAGCACTTACCAGCAGAGCACAAAAAAATTAGAGTTCTGGCAGCACACTCAATAGTTCTATAGTTCCTGATAGTTTTTAGAAAGAGTTCTGGACTTTTTAGTCCAGAAAATAATTTTTTTTTAAATTGTAAAATGCTCTGCCAGCTTCCCGATCACAGCAGAGCATTTCTTACCGATTTCGATAAATAAGGTCTCATTAAAACAATCATTTCAATTGTAACAGTTCCCTATCATTTAAATCCAAAAATAAAAAGGTTTAATTATCAAAAAAAAATAAAGAAGAGTGAGAGAAAACGAAATAATGAGCATTTTTGAAAGATTTTACTAAATGAAAAAAAAACCATATTGTACAGACATGGGAACTCCGCGGTTCCTATTAGATCTATTAGATGTCTAGGCAACACAATTAAATCCTAGACCAGAACTCTTCGCTTTCTCTCAGCAGAGCATACCTCTATGATGAAAATTGGCAATTTTTTTCACTTATTTTAGAAAAATTCAAAATAATATTAAATGTTGGGTCTAGACATGGGAACTCCGCGGTTTCTATTAGATCTTTTAAATGTCTAGGCATCACAATTAAATCCTAGGCCAGAACTCTTCGCTTTCTCTTAGCAGAGCATACCTCTATGATGAAAATTGGCAATTTTTTAACTTATTTTAGAAAAATTCAAAAAAATATTAACTTTTGGGTCTAGACATGGTAACTCCGCGGTTCCTATTAGATCTATTAGATTTCTAGGCAACACAATTAAATCCTAGACCAGAACTCTTCGCTTTCTCTCAGCAGAGCATACCTCTATGATGAAAATTGGAAATTTTTTCACCAATTTTAGAAATATTCAAAAAAAAATTAACTTTTGGGTCTAGACATGGGAACTCCGTGGTTCCTATTAGATCTATTAGATGTCTAGGCAATACAATTAAATCCTAGACCAGAACTCTTCGCTTTCTCTCAGCAGAGCATACCTCTATGATGAAAATTGGCAATTTTTTAACTTATTTTAGAAAAATTAAAAAAAAATTAAATGTTGGGTCTAGACATGGGAACTCCGCGGTTCCTATTAGATCTATTAGATGTCTAGGCAACACAATTAAATCCTAGACCAGAACTCTCCGCTTTCTCTCAACAGAGCATACCTCTATCATGAAAATTGGAAATTTTTTAACTTATTTTAGAAAAATTCAAAAAAATATTAAATGTTGGGTCTAGACATGGGAACTCCGCGGTTCCTATTAGATCTATTAGATGTCTAGGCAA